TAGCCTGACTGTTATTATAAACCAAAAATGATGCTTTTGCTCAGAAATATTTCAGGAGCAAGCAGGATACCATTAAACAGTTTAAATGTGAATCTTAAAAGTGCACTATATAATTTTCCTGGTGGGAGTCTGCCATCTGCATCTGATGTTCCTGCTTTGTTTCTGAATGGTCCACATTATAGCATTAAACTCCTAATTAATTTCCTTGACGATAGAATAGATGACACAAGCAGCAATCAAGAAACAAAGCAGTTGGCAGACCCTCTACTACTTCAATCTTCATCTTCACCAGAACCCATCATCCATGTCTCTTACAGTCCAAAATAACTTCACAAAATCTTCACAAATTTTCCACAAAGTTTCCACAGTCCAGTATTAGAACAGCCCAGAGAAACCATAACTAAAGCTCATGCAGTGGCTTTGACTTATCTAAAATCATTTCTAATATCCATTTATCTTATATCATGTGTGGCTGGATTATATGACTTTATTCAGTAATGCTCATTTTGATACACTGACGACAGCATTTAGAAGGCCTTAAATCTTCTCAATGTGTAACTTAATGTAAAAGGTTTGTGTAGCACGGCACTACAGAAAATCATTGAGCAGATTTACCCTGACAAACCCTGGCCCTGTATTGTCATCATATTTTACCGATCCCTCTCAGGTTTTGGGACATGAGATGAAAAGGGTGAATGGGCTGAGGAGGGGGGAGATGAGAGCTCATATTGATCCTGTCCCGTAGGTATCGACAGGCCCTTCCTCTGATGATGAAGTGGACTTGTTGTAGGGCCCTTGCTTCACAGAGGGGGAAAGTGAAGAGGACATATTCAGCATGCAGCAGCCTCCTTTACACACCAACGCACGGCCTGGCTGAAAAAATGGGCTCCTTATGACAGTGGATGGCTAAGGTAATGGCCGGTGACTGCAACCATTGCTCATAGTAATGATGGTTTCACCAAGGAATACTGTGTACCTTGGTAACCCTACTTTTCTCCACTTCCTCTGTGTTTGAACCCCTCTTTCTCTCTTTCTCTTCTTCCTGTTCACACTTTTTCTCTCTGTCAGTCAGTCCTCTCTTTCTCTCCCTCCTGGTTCACTCTCTCTCCTGATTTTCATTCGTGGCAATCTCTCTTTCACTTTCAAACATTTTCAGCCCTCACCATCATTTATGCACATTGCGCTGTCAAGGCTGGGCCTAACACTCACCACTCCTTTTCTCTGAAGCACAGGTCTTCAGGCAAGACACTGCACACAACACCATCAGACATTAAGATGCTTATTTGTACATTATTATGATGTATTGGCATGGAAACATTTCAACACAAGCACTGACAAGCACTACAGTGGAGTAGATGTATATTTCCATGGATTCTGTTCCACAGTCACAGAGATCCACTTACTCCACAGACGTACAGCATCAGTTAATAAAACCTTCTAAGAAACCTGCTTTTACAGTGGTCCTCAGAATACGGTTCTATAACCAACACTGTATGATAATATATGGTGGAGGTGTGAATGGGTCATTTAAATAAGCGCTCTATTGCAGACCTAAGGCTGTTTCCACATGAGGCCTTTGGTACCGCTGAGCTGAGCCACAGCCTCCTAAACACTTTCTCTGTAGAGCCAATGTTTCTTTCCTAGTAATTACTTCTATTATAGATTCTAACAGCTAGACCTCATTGGCTTACACTGACACAGACCTATTCAGAGCAAAACCACCCATTATCCGTCAAGGACGGCTGCATTGGTGCATTGAATTTAACTGCCATTTTCCGTTGGAAAACACAATTAATAGCTCATCATTAGCACCATCCAGGATAGCTCAGAGCAGGCTATTATAACAATCTTTTAGTGAGGTTTGTAAGTCACCCAGCCCACAGTTCAGCTGCCTAAAGGTAACCAAGCATCCACCAATCCAAGAGAAGGCTGACCATAGCTCAAAGTCAATGTTCCAGAGGTTTTATGCCAGTCAGAAAATATCCACTGAAAAGCACAAATCGGAGCTTCTGAGTACAGAGTCGGTTGCTGCAAATAATTCAAACTAGGCAGAGTGTCACATTATTAATATTTGATAAATGGTTTCATTCATACAGATATACCTGCATGCAAAATCTGTGCAATAAATGTTGAGAAATAAGAATTTCATTCAAATACCTTGAGTTCTGTACATATACAAAGCAGCAAACAGGTTTGGTTAAAATACCACTTAAAGTGAATTATGATGTGGTGAAAGATGATGACACACAGATTGTGCAAGAGGTACCTTACCTTACTACATAGGGATGTGAGCATAATACCCCCAAAAAGTATTTAGTATACAGTTATTACAGTTATTACTGCAATATAAAATTGATCAACAAAAATGTGAGTTGTAACCAAGTTTTGGAAGAAAAACTTGCCTGTAGCTATTTGGCTCAGGGCATTGTTAACACATGAGTCTCCACTGTGATTGTTCTTCAATTCTGACATCATCCCAAAAGTAAAATTTATTTAATACTGTACATCTCCACTAGTTTATTTCTTCTGGCAATTTTCTGTGCTTCCATATCACTACCTTCATCTTCTCTTGAGTGTTCCCATAACATTGCTAACTATATACCTGATTTTATACCTGAGCCAACACGATCAAATCCTCCACTTTGGCCCGTAACAGTAATGTCCAAGCCTTATTTGGTCAGGGTCTGCAGGGATCAGGCTCTGGTTGTGTGTTTGCCCAGATGGATGTTGTACATAGATCGTTTCCACTTAACAAAGCCTGCTTGACTGCACAATGGATCGTGATTAGATTAAAGCTTCACTGTAAGAGCATTCATTTGAGTTAAAGTGGGTTTTTATCTCCAAAGACAACAGGGGCCAAAACAGGACATGAACAAGAGGTTACTCAGGGAGGGAGGGCACTAGATCGGAAATAGTTGTATGCTGAACAGTAGTTTTTTGTAGTTTGGGAATTTGAGTTCAGTATACGGGCAAGCAGCTCCTGAGTACCACCACTGTTTGGAAAGGTGTTCTGAGTAGAAAGATGAAAGCCTTTCAGACGTTAAACTTTTGCATTATATCTTTCAATCATGAAATTTAATGGCACATTGGAAAAAGTATTTACCAAGAGGTAGGTAATGTAAACTATTATAGTACTATTATTTAAGTAATTTTAGTCTTACAGAAGTAAAAAGTAAGAATAAAGAAATTACAACTCATGTAAGTGTAACAGTAACAGCAACAATACAATATTCAGCATCTTGTTTTTGTAAATAAAAAATAAATAAATAATAGACAGAAAAATTTTGAAAAATAAATAATATCTGGACTAGTGGTGCAAGAAACGCATATGTCATTTAATATTGCCAACGTGTAGCTTTTGCCATTTATGGACAGCTGGAAAATTATCACTTAATTACGTACTGTTACACCTTAAACTTCTTTAAAAGTTACTTAACTGCAACTGCATACAACCCACACCCTCATTTAACTCTCACTTACTATTACATTGGAGTATCACTGGGTATTAGAATGTCTGCTCTATTTGGGGGATTTTAGTTTGTGTCGCTTTCCTTCAACTTGAAATTCTGTAAGCTACATCAGCTTTGTTCAAAGCTTTCTTATAAACCTTTCCAAGATGTTTGAAAAGCGCAGTATTTCCAACCACATGTTCTTTCAATGAAATAGTGTGGGAAATTGAAAATGAAATAAGTCATCATCACAAGAGGAAGGACTGAGTGTGAGCTGGAGGAGAGAGGCCTGGGGAGAATCCATGCCATTACATTTCTGTTTGAGCTCATGTCAGGGACCTTCTGCTGTCACCAGTCCAATGAAGTGTGGCCTGTGCTATGAGCAGTCAGCCTCACTAATAACTTCATGGATCACCACACAAAAGCACAGAAAGCTCAAAGCTGCTCAGACTCTGCCCTCTCTCCAGCCCTCTTTCCAACCATTAGCTCAAACAGCAGAAAACATTAGGGCCCTCCGTGTTTACATGGCATGACGCTCCGCAAACTTCTTCACAGGCAGGGGAGCACTGGGGCTTGGTGGTCAGAGGATGCAGGGTGTGGCACCATAAGACCCTGTATGTTGAATTATAGTGTGCTTTTGCATTCAGCCTAAGTGGACACATAAGGGCCACTGGGTGTTCATGGCCCTAACTTAATTACATGGTAATATGGAACACTTTAGGTGAAAACCAATAAGTCTACCATAACAGGTCTACCTAATGTAATTCCATTATAGCTCCATTATACCTTCAAGTGGATGAGCAGAGGAAAGAAGGAAAGCATATATTTTTCATCAGGGCTTTTGGGCATCACTAAGAGGGCAAGAGGGAATAGGGCAGTGTGTGGTGCAGCGGGGTGCCTCCTCTCAGTCTGGCACTTAAAGAGAACCAATGCTTAGAAATGGAAAGCTAATTAAGAGAAATGATACACCGGTGCTTGCATAGTTAATTTAATATCAATTTAATCTAGTTGTTTTGCAAATTCTGAAACTCAAGCTACGGAATACACTGTGCCAAAAAATTATACCAAATCAATATGAAAATTGGGCACAACAGTTGATTCACTATGCCAAGCCGACAATGAAAAATTTGAAAGGAATGATCTCAGTAGCTGAAAATGCTTACTTAGTATTACACCTGTATCAGAACTTTCTCTGACCAGTGACTAACTGCCATTAGTATTATAGTGTACAGGAGGGCCCTAGTCCAGGATTCTGTCCCTGTACCATTGATCACTTCATGGATGCTATTACAATTTTAAAGAAAGTATTTTCATATTTTACATTGTGCACCAAAGAGAGAGTATAGGTAAAGCAAATGTATTGTAAGTCCATTAACATACCCTTGCATTTTTTCTTGCCAAAAAAGAGATTGACTGTTTAGCTATTTTTCACATTAAATCACTTAAAGCTTTAATGACTGTCACTTTATAAAGTAAAATGACTCTATATTGAATAAATGATGAGATGTGAATATATCCTGGCTGCAGCCTAAAGCCGTTTCTGGATCATACCTTCAATGAGTCCCATGTGGATGGTCCAGTAGTTCTGCAGACACTGCAGCTCCTTTTTCATGCCCCTTTTACAGCGGCAGCCGTACAGCGGGCTGACCAGGAGCACCTCCAGCGCGGCCTGGCACTCTCTGTTGTTGTCCAACATGGCATCCTTCTCCTTACCCACCAGGCACTGGCGCATGACCCGGTATCGAGAGCTGCAGTGGGGGTTCTGGTTGCACATGTCACTGGCCTGGATGCAGTCCACCCATTCAGGCTGAGCGGTGGGCAAAGGCCCATCCGCCACAGGGCTGTCATTGAGCAAGGACACAGACACAGAAGGAGCGCTATCCCAGGAACTCACAGCCTCCTCTGCATGGAAACCAAAGAAAAATGTCAACATTGCATTAAGTTGTTTTATATTTTTGTAGAAATGTGTAAGCAACAGGTTTGTACCAAATTAGTTCTGACCTAAATGTACAGTAAATAATCAACTCCTAATTTGTGTGGCTGTTTAATCCAGATGAAGTTCACAACCTGTTGAACAACACTGTATTTATTTAGTAGGGCTTATGTCATATATTAAATGTATAATTATTGAATAAAATTACATCCAATAATTATAAAAAAAAAAAAAAAACTCAGATAATTAACAACGTCACCCTCGTGCGTGAATTCACTGGGCGTTATTTGTAAAGGCTGATGTACGTGGCGCAGACAGAGGTGCTGGTGCTCCACAGCAGACTGGATTCAAGCGCATCTTTACACTTTAAATCACTGCACTAACTCCAGGGGACATGCCAACAGAGCCCCCTGGTGGTGATGTAGAGCCTTGCGTTTGGAAGAAGACCGCATTCGTGAGTGAAAAAAGTGGCATGAAGTTTGCAGTGGGAATATTTTGAACCCTTCAGGCTATGGTAATTATTTTGTGGAATGCATGTAATACCTCTTAATATGACGGTGTTGTGATAAAGTGGAGACTGTTTTTTCTGATTTTAGAAAAGTGGCTAAAATAGGCTATATGGACATTTTTACAGTACTGAAAAAACTGCATTATGCTGAACATAGCCAGTTTTAGAATATTAAAATGTTGATAATAGCCTAATATTTTGGATATGATTTATTCTCATTTTAAACGTTGTTTAATGAGTCTTGATTGTGTAATTAAATACATTCCCATTACTGGCCATTTCATGTACTGTAAATGTCCTTCCTTTGGATTCCTTACCTAAGAACAGGACGCAGACATAGGTGCACAACCACACAGTGCAAGACTTCATCATGAACTTGATGGGCGATGAGCTGAGGACTTTGGGTCCGATTTGATGAATATTCCCGCTTTGACAGACTGACAGCTCAGTTAGAATCCTTGACCCAAGCAAAGACTAAGAGTAACAAAATAAATCATCATTCAACTCCCCAACACATGCGCCTCATCAAATCCTCGGTCCCCAACAATATTCCACAATTTTGAACAGACTGGCCACGACACACAAAATAATTCCCTGTGATTGTTGCAAGAAAACAAATGCCACTCAGTCAGTCTGTGAATCCATGCAGTCGGTTTCAGGGTCCGTGTCTGGAGCGATCATTGCCACAAACTCGAGACTTGTTCTCTTCGCATCATAAGCACGCATCCAGCTGCCCTCAGAGACACTTGTCCCTAAGCATTCCTCCGCACGGCCCGAGCCCCTCACGCTGTCTTTAACGAGGAGAAACAACTCTGTCAAAGTAGACTACAGAGCGCAGGCTCGTGCGTGCGAGCGCTGATGAAGCTGAGCACTCTTCTTCAGGCGCTGAACGCTCCTTTTGCACTGTGTGCGTGTCGAGGCACCGCGGCACTTTATAAAGTCAGGAGCGTGCGAAACCGAAAGAGGGCGCTGTTAGTCGAATCTCACTTGGAAAAGCAAGGACTCAGTCTCTCGGTGTGGCCCAATAATAATAAATACAACCCCAGAGCCAGAAAAATCACTGTAATATTCCTACAGGAAGCGGCAGAAGCGCGGTGCTCAACAGTGAAATTGCAGTGACCTCTTTTGGCCCGCGTAGTATATCTTTGATCCTTGTGATATTGCCGTGGGATTTTCTGTGAAAGCCAATAGATTTCTTGAGACTATTTGTGTGATTTATGTATCGTTTCCTTCTGGCGAGATTATAATCTTTTCATGAAGCATTTACGTTCTTTTTCTTCATTTCAAAAGAAGTGAACCGGACAAGGTCATACCACCTACGCGATTGGAAACTGCATAAAAGTGTGGCACCACCAGGTCTCACAGCCAGACAGATGAGCATTTAGTCAAGTCACTGACTCAGTTCATTTGTTCTTCACATGAAATAAGCCTATACCATTCAGATGAGAGGCACACTAATGTAACTGAACTAAAATAGTTTTAGAGATTGGCCAGAGATGATAAAATGTCGTTGTGGTCATCAGTAATCTCCCCTCACATCATCTGACATTTGAAAGAAACAATACAATGCCCCATATTATATTGTGCATGTGCATGAAGGAAGCCCACAAACCACAGGATCTGCCGTTTGTCAGTGTGTCCTCACATTAACAAAAATGACTTTGTTGTGCATCATTGCTTAAATAGTGCCTGGAATGTCATAAATCTTCTGAGAAGTTGAAAACAAAGTCTCTATTTAGAGGCAGTGACAGTGACAAACTGCAAGGCCACTGGCTCATAATGATGTTTGACTGTCAACCCAGGCTGGGATCCAAGAGGGGAAAGCTGCTGTTGTTAAAACGCAAAAATCAGCCTGATTCTGCCTAAACTGGCCTGAGCTTGTGTCCCCAGAGCCATGCGTTTGTGTCATTATGGGGCCACAGAAAAACAGCACAAATTCACCACCACTCACCACTGCATGATCATATACTGTTACTCCAATGTTATTTCCTTGTGTCTTTTGGAAAAAAAGTATGTCAAGTATTTCATCAGCCAGCCCTTGTTTACTTACTTTGTTTAATAGATTTTGCAACATGCAGGAGCAAAAGCCAGCCTGAATGTGAAACATACTCTACACTGTGATAAAAAATAAGGTCAGAGTTTGAGTGAGACTGATAACATAAATATAGATGGTACCATTACAAATTAATAGCATATGAAATAATGGCACATGCAGTCAAATGGAGGGAGGGGGGTCAAATCCAGATATAGACAACAGGTAATGTAAAGTTTTAATGTTATCATGCTGGATGAAAAAAACATAAATGTTCACTATCAAAAGCAGCACCTTGAAAAATGCATTGATTCCTGTATCTTCATCACTCCTTTGATTAAACTGGACTTGCTTTTCTTGATAAGGCTCACTCAGCTCAAAAATGAAGCTTTATCTAAGGTCAGAGGTCACAATATGTCTTCCAGTCAGCCATGGCCTTTGGAGACAGTGCCGGTGAACCTGATCATACAGATTACACAAGCAGTTACGGGATAATTAATGAACATCCAGGGAGACCAATGAAGAAGATGTACAGGGACCAGGCTGGATGGGGCCAATCTGCTGGAAATTACCAAGATAAAAAACAGAGCTTTAATCTGTAAAGTAGATGTATATGTTTAGTGTATAAAATTCAATCAATTATAGGAGAGCAAAACTGGATAGGAATAAACTAACTACAGTCAGTTTCAAATGCTTTAGACTGACAAGAGTTTCTACTTAATATTCAATGCAAAACCTCTGATTTGACAGTCGTTAGTGTAGAGGTAAATGTGGCGGCTAACTACACTTCCCTGTGCATTTGAGTGTAACTGTGTGTGTCAACATTGCTTTGGTTTGTTTGGAGCAAATAAACTACAACAATATTCTGATGTGACCTCTACTAGACTGTGTGGAGGCGATTGACCAGTGAGATCTATTTGTTTTCCAGGCATTTCAGCCATTGTCCATTTCTATCACATTACTTTGACAGAAATTGAATTTCCTGTGATGCATTTTTATGTATCCTAAGTGCTGTCTGTTCTCACTGGGAATATAGCATTTCGTCTGTATTGATGGTGCTGAAACACTTTAGGCTTTAGACAGAAACAGGGAAATGGATATTTTTTTAATGTCGTATTGACTATTTTTATTATATATTTTCACAAAAAGCTCCATATTTGGAAAATTCCACTCAGGACTGGAGAGCGGTAAGACCGTACAGAGGACAAAGTTTATCAGTTTTCAGAGGCCACTTTGGACTTCCCATCTTGTGAGATTGTCATCTTTCTAACCGTAATGGCAGGACAAATCAGGACATCACTGAGTTCTTTTATTTACAGTAGAAGATGTTTAGAGCAAATGATAGCAGCAGAGATACACTGGATCTATTTCAGACATTTGCTGGAGACAGGCGCATGTCTAGCCCATCTCGTTAAACACACCATGGGTCCCATATGGAATATTGACAGGCACCTCAGCCCTGCCCAGCTCTGTGAATGTCTTGGCATCCAGAACCAACAGAAAAGTACTTTTCTCCTGGAAGAAGAAGGATTTATATTTGAGATCACAGAGTGCCGTTCACTGTAATATTGGCTCCCATAATTATACACAATAAAATCTTGGTTGAAAAAGTTTGGGGATTTTTACAACTTACTCTTCTTGGAGTGATGATGACAGACAAGACCACTCCATCATCCTCTTCAGTGGCCTTGGGCGAAGCTACAAAGACAGGCTCAGACGGGTACAAACCAGGATAACGCCACACCTACATTTATTACAATTTATTTTGGAGATTTTTCAGGCCATAAAATCATCACATAAACAATTGTTGACAGATGAAGGAGAAGAACAGGTTACACAGAAAGAGACCTTTAGTTCCTTTGTGTGGACGTCCATCTTGAGTAGGGAGTCACTGAAGACATGTCCAAAGCCACAGGAGTAGAAGTAGCGGTAGGGTCGGCCGTTGTACTGAGAGTAGTTGATCTGAGGGAACTCAAGGCCCCCATACTGCAGCAGTGTGTCATCATGTAGCTCCTCATGAATCAAAAACACCTGACAGCAACAGTGTAGTTTAAAGACAACAACAGTGTAGATTAAAGACAACAACAATGTAGTTTAAACACAACAACAGTGTAGTTTAAAGACAACAACAGTGTAGTTTAAAGACAACAACAGTGTAGTTTAAACACAACAACAATGTAGTTTAAACACAACAACAGTGTAGTTTAAAGACAACAACAGTGTAGTTTAAAGACAACAACAGTGTAGTTTAAAGACAACAACAGTGTAGTTTAAAGACAACAACAGTGTAGTTTAAAGACAACAACAGACTGGGTCTCTGAGCTTTTGTGACAACAAATTATTCATTTTCTTTCCTTTCATTTCAGGTTTACAGTGTAATATAATGTGTCGATGTATATTAATTTTGGCTTTCTTTGAATATAGAATTAGGTTTCGAATGCCACAATTGATATAAGTCGAGTCATTTGAATTTGGCCCATAAAAATCCCCACATGGCGTGAGAAACGGCAATTGCTGCACAAAATAGTGGGCTCTCAACATGACATGCTTCTCTCTGTTGTGCGCCGATGCACTACATTTGCACACCCTGGATTCACTGTCTACTCACGCTGGATAATTGCAGTGAGTGACTGTGTGGGAGGCCATGGACCCTTTTTATCAGAGTTATAGACTTCTTTCTTTACTTGGTACGATGAAAAACAGACACACTCTTTTCTGATTTAATAACAGCATTGTTCTTGTGTATATAGTAAAATGTCCTCATATGTATTACCTCATTGGACTTGGTCTTAACAGCTGTGGCTGTATAACCACTGAGAGTCACAAGATTTTGGTCCAGTGGCATCTCTTCATCAACGTTCAGAGGTAAGACATATCTCCTTGGAAGGTTTCTGCATAGGCTATTGTAAAACTGAAAATAAAATTATAATTATACAGTGAAAGACCAGGGGAAGGATTTTAGAAGTACTTATAACTTCTGCCTACTCCTTCTGAGTACAAATGCTTAAAAATCCATTCAGTGTGAAAATATTTTGATGTATAATTTGTTCAAAATAAATAGTTAATTAATAAACACTAATGAACACACCTCAGACACACTATGACATCTAATGGCAGTGAACTACTCCTTGTGTGATTCATCTGACTCTGCTCCACTTTAACTGGGCCAATTAAAATACTGAATTATACACAAATAAGATTTTCACAATTCCCTAACCCAGTAAATTATCTGATCTTGACTAATTTTGTCTATGATTTAAAGTGTTTCTATTGACATGCTATTGTATGATTCACCTTACTTGCTACTGGGTAAAAAGTCTTATTTGTGTACTATTTTAAATTCAATACCAGTTTGAATGATTATTACCTTATCCATTTCCTCTCCGGATTTTCTTTTAATATTCTCCAATGTAAACTCTCCAATCAACTCTCCATCATCTCCACAACACATGTCCATCACCAGAAACCCATTTTCTTCATATGCATTGATCTGATGCAGGGCGAACATAGGTGCACACTCGTACCTCACTTTACTTCTCTATCAAATAAATGTTAGAAAAAAAATGTTATGAACAAATTAAATAAAATTTTTCCTTGATTGAGCCTCTATTGTGTGCATCCATATTTAGCTCTTATACACCTAATGGGTCTGCCGTGTAATGAGATGTGAGTAACAATGCATGAGGAAAGGCCACACCATCAGAGTGCAGTTTCATCAAAATAAATAAGGGTGCATGAAGAGATTAGCTTGCAATTTTTCTCTCTTGTTTTCTCCATTTATTAGCTCCCTGTGCACCCCAGATATTGTCTATTCCACTGTACACAGCAGACTTGTCTTTGCAATAGCTTGGTTCTGACCCACCTTGCCTGTATGTCTGTTGACCAGATGGAAGATAGTGTTGTATTTGGGCTCCCAGGTCATGATTTTATGGAAGCTTTTGCCCTGAATCCGGTACAACATGAACTTAAGCAAATCCAGTTTGATTGGCTGCTCCACAAACACAATGTAGTTCTCAGACATGACTGCAGGAGAACACAATAAACAGAGTCTGAGATTAGAAACAAACAAATTATGGTAACATGTGGAGATAATCACATTTCTGTCAATGGTGTTTTAGTATAAAGCCAAGTTGAATTTCAGGCTCATACTAAGTTATGTTGGATATGTTATGTGTACAATGTACTAGATGTCATGTCATGTTAGCACTTGTCTACATTTAATATTAATGCTCAATGGCGCTGATGTAATTATAAAGAAGTAAGTAATAATCAAACATAATGAAGATTATATAGTACAAGTTTTAGTAGCCTTTTAGTAGCCTTTCCTTACCATGTATTTTACATAAAAAAATATGAAATACAGTGGTCAACACCAAAGGGTAAATTATCTGTTACTTTTCTAACAACATATTGCTGAAGTTAGTGATTAAACATGGTATTTTTATGGGCCTGAGCTACAGAAGGCTGGCTCATCAAATGAATATGTTGTAGAGACTGAATAATGGACTACTGTAGTGCTTTGAGAAGCTTTTCAAAAACCCAATGTCTGAGCCATTCTCTTTTTAAGAGGCTTTGAATGGCAAAAAGATTATACCACCATGTGGTTAAACTGGTATCATGACTTATTTCAGGCTTCATGATTTGAGAAATAATAATAAAACATGCCACAACCAAGCAATTAAAGTTAAGCATTTACTCCAGGACCTTAATCACAGTTCATGAAACACATTTGGGAATTCATGTATGGTGATATTAGAGTCACTTTGAATGGGGCAGCCTAATTCTATCAGTAGGGGAGAGTCTGTCAATATTATGAAACATACCTGTCTCTATACCGCACACTGGCAATGTATAAATGAATGACAAATATGAGTTTGGGTATGACTCCTGTCCTGGTACAGGTGACATTGCTTCTTCTATGAGCGTTTGAATGTTCTATCACTGTAAGATTACATGGAGCCAGACTGTCTGGTAAGTGAGGATGGTCTGTTGGAAATAAAAACAGTGATATAATGAGGATACTGAGCTAGAATGAAAACAAGCTCATTTAGTCCGATGCTGGATGTCGCATGTGCTGATTGGCAGAAGCTCTGTCCTTTTGAGTTAATATTAAGCACTCTGTGAAAACAATTAGCCACATCTAAACAGCATTAGGCCCCAGAAGAAAGCTTATATAGCCCCTATTAGATTTCATTAAACATAGAATTCATATGATTCATCAGCCACCCCAGAAAACAAAACCTTTTATCCATGTGTGTGACCCTCAAACCAATGGATGGAAGGCATAAGTGTTTTTGTCTATAATTACATTATGAGGTAATATGAAAACCAGTCTCAATGCACTTGACTTTAAAGCACCATCAAAGATGTTGTATTTATCCTCTTAATTAGATTTACAGATGTTTCAGCAGAAATCGTAATGCCCTGCTATTTTGATACTGGTTTAAATTTTCCTAAACTGTGTGTAACAACTGAAATGAGTAATTAAAAGTTTTGACTAAAAAACTTTAAAAGTGTTAGCATGTATAGCAAGAGAAGCAGCGTGCATGGTATTTAAATTGAGTATGGCCTGAGATAGCCTATGTGCTGTTTATCTCACCAAAGCTGTGGTAATAGGACGGTTTCCTGGGTTCAGCGGCAGGGATGGAGCAGATTACTTTGGCCCCGCTCAAGTCTGCACAGTCTGTCTTTGCTGCTGTCTCATCAGGAGGAGGCACTCGAATGATGTTGTAGAAAAAGCCTGTGGAACAAAAACAGACAATACTAAATTCTGTAGATCTATTGTAAAATTCTCCAAAGTACTACTGGGTAAATTGACTATGTTTTTTTTTATAGTATGAAGTATTCAGGTATAGCACAATGAATCAGTATACACACTGGCCACTTTATTAGGTACCAGGTAATTTGAGGCAGCAGAAGCATGCATGCATGGTCAAGGCAGAAGTTCAAACCAAGTTATTTTGCCTTGTCAAAAATCTGCAATACATACATGTTATTCGAACTTGTAATAGAGACCTGTAAGGGAGCTGTGATTGGCAAAAGGCGACAATACATGAAAATATGTTTTTATATTCTGTTTTACAACATACCTTGTTTGCCATAGGAGTTGCCCATGTTGTATGTGGCTCCCTCTTGGTCATAGTGGGGATGGGCTGTGGCAGAGTTGACTGCAATAAATGAACTCCAGTCCACCTTAAATGGATAGAGAAGCAACTTTAGTGTTCCTCTTGTTCTTATTATCAGCGTTATAAATCGACCAAACACTTGGGCGCAGGTGTTACTGTCTTACCTTCTCTTTTGTCTCCAGACTTTGTGGGTCTATCCGTCTCATGTAGTTGGTTTCTGTGCTGACATAATAGTCTCCCTTGTACTTGACAAAGTTCACACTGGCGTTATCTGTAGCCTCTGCTCACACATACAGAAAGCAGCAGGAATATGTTAAATTAACCTCAGCCCATCTGTCTTGTAGATACAAGTGAAATATATTTTACATTCATTTCTTTCCTCCTTATTTCTCAAATGCAAGTCTCGCTTTGAATTGATCTTTCCCTTTCAGACAACTGATGCACAGTGTTACTCAAATGCACCCGCAAACACACTTATTGACTTGTTCCCTTCACTTAAATAAGGCCATCCTATAATGTGACTCTGGCATCCATTAGGCCTCAACAGACATTTATAAGAAATTTTTGATTAAGTATAATGAATAAAGTGTTGCTTTACTCTTGATCTGATCTGATTTGAAATGTAATGGTTTTGTTTACAATTGCATAGACTGGTGTTATACAAAATGTAATCACAAATTATTAAATTGTGATATACTTACTTGGAATCTGGAAACGTGAAAAGAAGCGAGCAAAGATGTTTTTGCATGGGTCGGGCATAGCCATCGTCCCAAACTCAGTCACCACAATGCGGTTCTTTTCTGAGTTCTGGATGTATGAGTCACTCCTGAGGAAGCGACTGCTGTATGTGACATTCCCATCGCTTATATGGAACCTGTGCATCATGGCCATACCATCGAACCAGTGCACATATCTGAAAGTACACAGGGGAAAGTACCAAGAAAAGAGAGAATATCATACCAACACAGTTAACTTCACTCTTTAAATTAACGGAGATGCATTAAATTTTAATAATTACAGATAAGACAAACATTTATTTAATCTCTCAGTCATTTTACCTGTCATTTCCAAATTCAAACTTTGCAGGGCCATTTCTGAGGAAGCTTCCATTGATCCATGAGGGGATGTTGCCACTTACTGTGGTGGGGATGGGGTTGGGCGTTTCCTCCACAGAGGTCACGAGGGGTGCCAGGCTCTCCAGCCCGTTGCCCTGTGGGCACCGCAGCCTGCTTGAGACTGAGCAGGGAGCACAAGAACCGCCACTGATTAGCTATATTCAAATACAACGACATCATGTAATTCATCCAGATAAAAGAGGGGACTCTTTAGATACGCTCTTGATCTAAGACTGAACCGATGCGGCACCTGAACTTTTGAACCCTCCCCCTAATCCTGCTGTAAAACACCTTCTGCTCAAAGAGAGATTCTCACTACACTCTACACAACAGAGAGGACATTTTAAAGAATGAAACTTTGAACACTGTGAACACAGTAAAATTAACTTAATCTTTGTAAATGTATCTTCTTTCCTTCTGTCTTTTCCCTTCCAGTGCTGCCATAAAGAATCCTCTCTTCCAATTATCCAGGGTGCGGCGATCAAAAAACATAGAATTCCCCTGTGGCTAAAATAGTAATTAGTCAGTTTTTATATAATGTTTAAATAAGAAGCACCTTTGTGCCTTTTTTAAAATGTAAACACACTGACAGTTTTGAGTTGTGGACTCTCTGGGGTCATGCCCTGTAGATAACACCAGTACTATCTACCACCTTAACTGTTATCCAAGAACCAGTTTAGGTTCATTACCGTATATCTGCACACATAATGGAGGTTGTAAAATATATATGAGCCAGGCATGATTAACTAAATCAAATGATGGCAGTCACAGGCTGAGCTGGGTACAACAGCAAAGACATTATTTTGACTGTGGATGAATTGTTATTGCAGCCAATCAACGAGGCAGAAGAAATGTTCTCTCCCGTGACACCAGTAGAACAGACAATAAAGCGGACAGTGTGCCATAAAAGATAACCACTCCAGGCTTTAGTGTGTTGTCTCTGGGTTTTTATAGAGTTTATGGCAAATGAACCTTGAATTTGAACATTTGTTTTTGTGTTATTTGGCCAAAACTAAAATAACAGGAATTGCTCCATGCTGTATGTTTTTATTTTCTGGCAGTAGCGATTGAAAAACCATTGTAAGAAAGGGCTATTGTTTAAACGTATTCTTGTGGCTCAGCACAGCATCAATAAAAAAGTACATGACCTTGGTAGATTCATTATATTCTTATTGCAATTATTTTTTATCTTAGAAATATGGCAGCTGGTTGTCATCTGAACCAGCTGAGTCAGACTAAAAGCTATTAATGAGACATTGTACATGTTCTTTCAAAAGGTTCATATTCAACAGGAGAAACAGAGGGAGGGGGACAAAAGAAAATGCCAACATGTCTCTTTTGTAGCTCTGAATGGAAATGAGAGAGAAAAGCATTAAGTTTAAAACAAAGGCCCTGTCCGTCTCTGCACTGGCACTGGCTTTGAGGATGCTGGTTAAACATTGCTGTTCAAATGTAGCCAAATCCTAATGCTATCCATGTTATGTTGAGAACTTGATTTAAACTTGATTTTGTTTGTATAATCTCAAATGGTATTCCTGCTGCATGTCATTTGTAAAATGATTCATGCATCTGCCAGCAGTGAATGGTGAAAGGGACTAGATTTGTCTTAGGTTACACTTTATAATAATAACCACATTTTAATAGCCTCGAGCCAGCATGAACATAGACTTCATTCATAGTTAACACATGTATTAAGAATGATTCAGGCTTGGTAACTACTTAAATAATACCCTAACAGTCCATTACAAAAGCATTGTAATGGTCTTAAGTAGTACTAAGCCTGAATCATTCTTTTAAAAATGTGTTCTTTATGAATTAAGTTTTAAATAGCAAAGGCTGTTTTGTGTATTTCCCTCTCCTTTGTTATGGAAAATGGGCTCTACTTACTGTGAGATGCAGTCTTAACGGCCTTAGACATGGCGAAGCTCTGTGCATGTGATCAAACGATCGCAGGATTTATACACGCCCTCATATGACCTTTGGAACCTGCACCGCCACTTCAGGAAGGAAGAGAATGTCCCTCTGTTTCAAAACACAAAAGCAGAAGACACATTACTGCAGTTACACAATACACTGCATTATTTATGTGTTCTGAGAATGTAAAAAAAGAAATGAGGTCAGATACAAGATTTGACTTTGCACAGAATTAAGGGCTGCAGTAGTGGACAGTAATGAAGTAGAACAATAAAAGTACTTAAGTAAGTGTTTAAGATGTCTGCACTTTACTGAAATACGCTGGATACGATGAAGACAATAATATACATCTAGGCAGATAGATAGATAGATAGATAGAAGAGTAACAGCTATTTAACTGTTTCAAAATCACTACATTTGACGCTTTAATGGGTCTCAAAATTGGTCCAAAATCCTTTTACTTTGTACTCTAAAAGAATACTTTTACTGATGTCGATTTTTCATGTGATACAACAATTAATGAAGTACTTCTTTCACCCCTGGTGGACACGCTGTACGTGATTATGCAGTCCAAACTCACTTGATAATGTATCAGTTATCTGAAACAGAGTCCACTCTTTCTTTCTAATCTATAGGTTATTAGCACATATGGGAGAAGTATTTAAGTAAAAGTAACGTTACTTATGTGCAACGTTGTGCAATTGTTTGTGTACACAGCATGATTTGTGTATTAAATAATCATTCCTAAAGTCCAAATCACAATGGAAATGTGCTGCACAACAGCTTGATATAGAAGCAATTTAATCTTTGTACAGCAGCGTTTTCAGTAGCCAGATTTTAGTTCAGTAAAAACATTTCATCCCTCCTTGAACAAATCTACTCAAAGGTGTTGATAAACATAGATATATTTTTTGCACATGAACTCTTTGGTCACTCTTTGGTACCTAAAAAAATCACAGAGGGGGTAAAAGACCTTGCATTAAAATTGTTGTTATTAGGTATAGTGTGAAATCACATCATTTAAATATGCTAATAACCATAACAGTGAAAGTGCCAGTTGGGACAGAAGAGCAGCACAGTGCATATGAAATGACATGGAGTGCACAGGATCATTCAGATAAAGTCAATCAGCCCCAAACCTTCAGCTCAAACTCAAACTCAGAGCTCAAAAATGCAAACGTGACATGTCGATACAGAGCAGAGGAATACCAGTCAGGTCATGAAGCACTCTGGAGGTCTAATTAAACCAGATTTTGTGTCCTGCTGTAATTGTTTGTGCCTGTCTAAAAATATTTTATTTCAGAACAAGATGATTTAAACTTGCTTGTGTCAGTTTGTATTTAGACAATATATTAACATGTACATTGTTTTCATCTGAATATAACATATTTTTCAAATCAAAAACTTGTAAGAAAGAGCCATGTGAGTTACTATATGGTGTTTTGGAATCAGAGCTGACCATGCAAGGGTAGTCCACTCTGTGCTTCACTTGTCCATTTTTAAAAAAAGCTGTGTCAGTGGGCAAATAATCCATGCATGTGAATTCTAGCTATGTGCATAAGGGTTTGTGAGAGCTTGGACAGATTTTCAGTTTTATACACAGCAAAAAGTTATATCTAGGTAAGTTCAGATCACTTTAATCAAGAATATTTAATCTTGATTTAAGAAGATTTGACTGATAAGTTAAATTATCTACCAATGGAACAATATATAGTTTCTTAGATCAAGCAACACACAGTTATATTCTTATTTCAAGTGCTATGCTTCTTATTTTAGGTTTTGTTCTATGTTATGTACCAAATGTGTTGTTCTATTGGTAGATAATTCTACTTGCCAAGGGAAATCTACTCAAATCCAGATAACATGTTCTTTTTACTTAACTAGATAATATGTTTTGTGATGTAGTTTGAAAATTAGACACTCCACACTCAAAAAAAAAAAAAAAAAAAAAAAAAAAAAAACACTTCAAGGTAAGTTAAAATTTGTTAAATTAAGAAGATTTTACGTTATTCAGCTTGACATGTAAAAATATCTACCAGTGGAATAAGTGTGTTTTTCTTAATTCAAGCAACATTATTTTAAGTGCAAAAAGTTGTTTTTATTATCTTCAGTGTAACTAGATGTATTTCCCTATTTCAGCCTACAAAACGTCTTGTCCCATTGGTTGATAATTTTACTTGTCCTATGAAATTCACTCCAATTATGATAAAACTTTCTTATTTCAAGTCATCTTAACTTGGCTAGATTAAAACTTTTGCAATGCATCTTTAATCAGAGCAGATTAATATAATAACATATTAATATTCTGACTATTTTCTTGAGTGATATTTTAGCTAACTCCAGTTACCTAGGTACAAATTTAGAAAACATCACCTCTGGCATCATGGGCCAACCAAAAATACCCAAATTACCACAAAGCCTTCTGCATTTCTAAATCCAAATTGCTGTGGTTAAGTGATAAATTTAGTCTCACCACAGATGGCAGACCCAACCCTCCACTGTAATGGTTACATATTACAAAAATGTCTCTGTTTTGCACCACACTTGAGATGGTAATGGGCAGAGGAGTGTTTACTGACTCAAAGTGCTTCAGCGCGCGCATAAAGCTCACGCAGAGTGGCACTTGGTTCGGGCACAGAAACATGCTCCAGTCTAGAGTTAGATGTTACAAGGCCTGGAGGGAGTTTCTCTAAATGAGGTGCACAGCTTTGTTCTGCAATGAGACTGTAGCAACATGACAGACCGCACTCAAGTGAAAACCAACACAGCACACTGATCTACGGCCCCGAATGAACCACACGACCGTCTAAATGTGCTGTGGTCCGAAATAGCCATTAACTGATTTCATTTACTTAATCTATTTCTTCGCCTCTTTGTTGATTCCATTCATTGAGCACCTCTGTTCATTATCTTTTGTCATCTGGCCCCATATGAAATTAATGAATACAAGACGTTTAATCAGAAAATGGAAAAAAAGCTACACATCTATTAGAGAAACCAGCAAGTAATAAGTTTAATAATGTTTTACAGATTTTGAAGAGTCATTTTAATTAGCTTCCAATTAACTGCATATCACAACAGTGAAAGGCTTTTGCAGAGAGCAATGCCCACACACATACACACATTTTATTTTGTTAAGATTTCTCTTTCGGTGAAGTCATCTCTAGTTTTTCAGCCAACATAATGGTCGTAACCTCTTCTAAGGCACTGCTCTGTCTTGCAATGGTAAGAAAATAGACAAGGTAAAAATGCTTTAAACAATGAGCTTAGCTTTTTAAAGCTAAACAAATAAGTTCATTTTTATCATTACAGGTAAAATGTAATGTTAGTTATCCACGTAGATATTTCTAAAATCAAACTCAAATTTGATTGTAAGGAAAATCTATGATAGATCTTATACTGATTTCAATACCACTATTATATAATTAAAATGCTCTTGTTTAAAGAATGTAATTTTTACCACAAAATAATAGTATTTTCTGTTCATGTGATTTTCTTCAGTACTGATACCTGATAAAATCTAGTTTCAACACTAGTTTTAGTAGAAATTATCCCTTATGCAATAAATGACCAATAACCAAAAGAGGAAAAAATGCCAAAGGGTAAAATAAGAATAAAAAACTATAGTAGCATAATTATGTCTTTATATCCAAATGCGGTGTCCCAGTAGATAGCCACACCAGGCATTCCACTTCAAAATGAAAATAAAGAGTCCAGTCTGCTTGACTCCAACTTAAATACACAGAGCAGAGTTGAAACTCCTGCAAGGCCAACTAATTGTTCATTCATCCCTGACACATGTTCTCATCTCACTTTCTTATCACTTACACTACCTGTTCACAGCTTTGTTATGTCTACATTTTAAGTCCCATTATTCTCCATTTGACAGATTGATAATGTCTGTATGCTGAGTCACTCTGGGCCTCTCACTGTCATGTCTTCACACTTTTCACACATCCGGCACCGCTCATAACTTTTCTATTCAACATAACTTTGTTTGAGTGCAACCTTGTGATATGGAGTCAGCCACAGTCATGTTGTCTTATCGGGTGAAGAAATGAGAGGTGCTCCAAGTGAACTGTGAGACTGACTATTTAACAAATACCCATATTCTTGGTTGGCTTCACAGCAGCAGTGAAATCTTGTGTTCAACAGTCACATAATTCACAACCAATTGCACCATCTGCTGTTAATAAAGCTGTTTATTTATCATAGTAAATGTCAAGACTTTAAACCGTGACTTTGCTTCACATTTCACAAAAAATAAACCAACAGAACTTAACCAGATGCTGGCTTCCCATGCTCTTATATAAACAGTGCCAAATAAAAATTATACAAAAGTCTCTATGTTTTTGAGTGTTTTTAGAGAGTTGAGATTTTCTGTTTGAATTTCTTAATGAAAATATGCTATGAGCAAGTCAAGTTATACAAGTTATACAGGTGATATTGAACCTAAGTCCAAGATAAGGTGATAATCTGTAAGCAACTACTACTACTACTGCTGTAAGTATGTGAAGGATATTCCTATCTGTATGTATATATATATATATATATATATATATATATATATATATATATATATATATATATATATATATATATATATATATATATATATATATATATATATATATATCACAAAGCAAATTCATCTATAAGGCTTATCTTACTACACACATAAATATCGTTTAGAAATGTACTCAGAGTTCATGAGAAATGTTCCCTGTTACACACCTGTTGCCCTGGCGAACTATAGGTGCAGTGACTCTATTGGTGCCCCTGGTAGCAAAAGGACAAACAAACCAATAGCAGCGTGTGTTTCCATAATTTGAGGATGGTCTCGCCTGAGGTGGGCGAGTTAAAAGACTGAGAGTGTCCTGCCGTCCCCCAGCAGAAGCATCCATCAACATGATCCCCATTGTGCTGGCCTCCGTGCTCATTGCTAGCGGTAAGAACATCTGGCTGACTCTAATTCAGAGTGTAATTGTTTTCTGCACAAACTTGACTATGTGTGTACATAAACAGGGAATGAGCACACTTCTGTAGTTAGTGCTTCACTCATTACAAAGCTAATTTTACCTTTCTTTACCCTCAGCCCTTGGGTGCGGTAACCCACCCATTGAGCCCCTGACTTCTCGCGTGGTCAATGGAGAAGATGCCATACCCCACAGCTGGCCCTGGCAGGTATGCAAATGCCAACACACCTGTCAATGTTTTTCATGTTTCTGGCAAACCTCGTGGATACAACATCTGCTTATTAGAAGTCAGGCCTACTGGATATCAACTACTATGTAAACCAATTGCTTACTTAATATTAAATCAGCCCTCTATGCACAGCTATGGGTCAACTGTATAGGTTACCTGTCTTGTCTGCACCGACAGATTTCCCTGCAGTATGAAAGGGATGGAGAATGGAGGCACACTTGTGGGGGATCTCTGATTGCTGCCAACTGGGTCATGACTGCGGCTCACTGCATCAAGTAGGAACAAAACTGAAACACAAAGATAAATCCATATTCTCATACAGTGATCACATTTTATACATTTAAATCTGTAATATTATTCATTAATATTGTTTCCTGTTATTGTAGCACAAAACTGAGCTACAGAGTGGTTGTGGGAAAATACAACCTGGTGGAGGAGGAAGCTGGAGCCAAGGCCATTCTGCCCGAGAAGATCATTGTCCATAGACAGTGGAACCCTATCCTTGTGGCCCTCGGGTACAGACTTATGAGTACTCATTTAGGAAACTAGACATAATAATTGTTAGAATACTGAGGTCTTTTAACACTGGCAATATGTATGCCAGTTCAAAGACAAGTTACAGTCCTCTGACACCACCTAGTGGTCAGATTGAAGACAGCAAAACTGTGTGTATCAGCTATATGCACCGCACAAGAATTTAAATTGAACTATGGATAAAAATGTAAATTATCTAAAGCTTATCTGATGAATTAATGTGTGCTACATGTGCACTCGAATTTAAATTATTCTAAACTACTAAAATAGTGTTTAGAAGTAACAGTGGTACAACACTCAAGTACAGATTTCCTTAAATTTAAGAAAAGAGACTTATATTATTTATATATATGGTATTTATATCAAATGAACACAAAAAGGCAACAGTGTTCCCTGATCTAGTCTCACTTTGTCCAGATAAAGAGGTTGTTTAAATGACTCCTCACCACAGATCTCTATCTAACTCTCACAGTAACGACATCGCCATGATCAAACTGTCCGAGCCTGTGACTTTGAGCGATCACGTTCAGCTGGCTTGCATCCCCGCTCCCGAGACCCTGCTGCCCAACCTCTACCCCTGCTACATCACTGGCTGGGGTAGAATCTCCAGTAAGTCTAAAGTGTCCATCTTTTAAAGCCTATCACAGCATCTCAGCAGTAGCTTCATCTAAAATGCCCTGTAGGAGACTGGAAGCGGCTTACTGCCTGCTGCGCCAAATAAATCAAATTCAAAGAAAGATGTTAGGCCTGGCTTTGTTCTCAGGGATTACTGCTAATTAGAATGTGCGAGGTTTGGTAGTAGCTTGTACAGTATGTGGAAGCTCGTGATAGACACTGACAGCGTGTATGTGTGTGTATGTTCTAGCTGGAGGGCCCATTGCGGATAAGCTACAGCAGGCTCTGATGCCTGTAGCCGACCACGAAACATGCACCCAGAACGACTGGTGGGGTGTTGCTATCAGGGACTCTATGGTGTGTGCCGGAGGAGATGGCATTGTGGGTGGATGTAACGTAAGTCCCTAAATTTCTATCCATATTTTGTAATAATTTCCTATGCTGAAAACAAAGTACTTTCTCCGTCAGTTTTAACTTTGATACATTTTCACTCCATTGACTTCGTATTTGGTGAAACAAATATGAAGCTGCTTTTTAATCTATGTTGCGTGTTTACATTATAAATTAAATGCAGCCCTGCGTGAAAGTATTCTAAATGTTCAGAACCTGATTAGACCATGTATCAGAATACTACAAAATACAGTTTAATTTAGGTATTCAGTATTCTGTAACTAAATACATTTCAAAGTATTCTCATGTATGTATGTATGTATGTATGTATGTATGTATGTATGTATGTATGTATGTATGTGATTATTAATAGAGGTGTTTCCTCCTTGTATAGGGTGACTCTGGTGGTCCCCTGAACTGTAAGAATGCTGATGGTACCTGGGAGGTCCATGGAATCGCCAGCTTTGTCTCCGGTCTTGGCTGCAACTTCATCAGGAAGCCCACCGTGTTCACCCGCGTCTCTGCTTTCAACGAATGGATTGAGGAGGTGAGAAAGCTAAAAACATCAGAAATAAAGTTTTATTTGCTGATTATAAATTGTGTATTTTTTGCAGGCCATGATGAACAACTAAGAAGGAACTTAATAAAAGACTAAACAAAAGTTGATTAATGTTTCTGTAATTTGTTTACTACATCAAGGTGAATGAACATAAATGCAGTGACTTCAGTACAAACAGTGTCAAAGAAAGTCCAGCAGATGTCCTCATTCACTCATTTCATATACTGACTTGCACTATACCTCCCTATCATCTACCATATAGTATATTAGGAAAACAATTATTCTTCATTCTGCTTTTGTCTCCAAATGCAAGCATCTCCTATTTGACTGGTGTTCTTTTTTTTTTTTTTTTTACAATTTATTTTTGTTGCTAGTGTCCGCCCATAGCCTTGACACATTCTGTCACTTGCACAATGTCCCCAGACCCTATAGATGTGGTCACTGTACACTCAGTGACTAATTCCCAGGTTGTCACTGTCAATAGATACTTAAGGGGGGAAATAATGAAGGGGTCTGTCCTGTGTGCAATTTAGTTAAGTCAGCTATAAAGTTCTGTGCTGCTGTGTTGATCCAACATGATATATGTTAACTATTGCTCTGTTACCTTAAAAATCACAGACTAGATCAGTTTTAAAAAGCAAGGCCAAACAGATGAATTGTTAATGCTGTATTAATCATTAATTATTTTAGGTAAGAGTTTAGTTAGTTTAGTTTTAAGTTTAGCTTTACGGTTTATGCATTTAAATGCAGCCTACTTAATTTATGCTGAACATTTATTAAATCATTAGTCTGAATTGCACAAATTTAAAGCATGAGATGTTGCCTGCAGTGCTTTCATGGAGCAATGCATCCTGGGTAACTTTTGTCTTGCACATAGGATGAGGGGGGTAAGGGGGCTAAAAAGAATGCTTTGTCTCTATGTGAGCTGAGGGACAGGGTAACCCCTGATCCCCTCCACACAGGCTGCACAGAGAGTTCTGCCAAGTCTGGCTGCAGCATGAATACCAAGTGTTAAAGAGGCAATGCACTAATTTTGGAGAGTTTTAATATAAAATGTCACTATCTCAAACCCCATCTCAAACTAGCATTTAAAATCAACTATATTTTTGGTCATTTCAAGGCTTTAGTGAGAGGACAAGTGAGGGAGAGAGCAGAGAGACATTCAGAAACTGTCAGATAACCTCACCTTACAGCAAGGTGAGTTACACTGCATGTGCTGCAGCTCTGCCACTAAGACGTTTATTAAATTAAGCATAAGTCTTTAAAATAATCCTCTCTCAAGGAATAAACTTTACTGAGTTTTGTTACTGATAGATTATTTTCTTTGATCAGTTGGCTCCACAAAACCCAGTTAGGCTCTCTAACTTAGTTTTTAAATGTTCTCAAAGTGATGATCATTTATTACCAACATTATGTTTATGATGATAATTTGACCAGAATTAAATCAGTTTGGATAACTGTTTACATAATTTCCCTGCACACTGCTGTTGGCCTATAGGCTTTTGTTCAGCTGCACTCAGCTTGATCCAGTGTTGTCTCGAACTCAAGATTTTGTTTGTTGCTTTGTTTTTTGTTTTTGTTTTTTGCATTCTTTAACATCTGTAGAAATAATGATGACCAAAATCAAAGGAAGTCTCACTTCTGAGAGTTCTGACCTCAGACCTATGTCCTGGGGGCTTGGGCACTTCATCCTGTTGGTTCCAATTATTTTAGGCTCTGGGCTGCAGAAAGCCCAACCAACTTTTCAGAATAGGTTAGCTGTCAGCAGCTAAAACATTTGTTGGCCTACTGTAACACTGTTTGGGGATTTCGGTTTGTAGAGATGCGCTGATAGGATTTTACGCTTGGCCTCCCTTTATAGCTCAGTAGTAGAGGGAGCGCGCGAACCTAAAAAGAGGAGGGGATTGTGGGCTGACGATGGAGCCACGCTGACAGATGATCGCATCAGACCAGGCAGAGTCATCGCTGGGACAGACCGGTTAGGAGAACAAGCTGGGACAGAGCCAGCTAAACTTGATACAGTGTCCGTTGGTAATCACGGTCCATTGGCAGCTCCAGAGGTCGTGCGTCCGGGAGATACGTCCGTGTGACCCACTTTTCAGCACCAAAGTTCCCGCGTGTGCTCAAAAGCCCATTGTTGTTTTTGTTTTTTTTGTTTTTGTTTTTTTTTAAGTTGCATCCGTCCTACTGATATACAAATCATTTACTACCAAGTGAATGGGCAGCAGTTGTCAAGGTATGTGAATCTTTGTTTCAAGTTTAAATTAAAGTCTTACACTTTACTCAAAAAGTATTTTGCTCAAAAAGAGACATGACTGATATTGCTTGCCAGTCCAGCGGGAGAATTGCCTGTACAACATTTGCCTGTGTTACTTGGATGTTGTGATTTGCATAGGAGAGTGGACTTTCCGTTGTGGTCTAACTGATGTCACGTCCTCCTACACAAACACAAGCGTGAACCATATCTTTACTGTCATTATTGCTTACTTCAGTAGATCCAGAGTCAGAGATTCTGAAGCCATTTTCCTCCTCGGGGGGTGTGACTCAATCAGTCAGCCGGCCTATTTATGGTGACATTATGCATAGCTTATACATGTGGATGTCGGCAAGTGCTCTAGAAAATATAAAATATATCTCCTATAAACATCCATGTGTGCAAATTTCAAACTTTGAACCTTTAAATCATTTTAACACAGTTGGATTACACTGATAATGATACCATTAAAAAAAAAAGGTTGATATATTGGCTGTAACACATAAATCTAATTAACTTCTAAATTGTATTGCTGGTGAGTGTATATGTGAGTGACCTGCATGAACAAACATTTCTAAATCAAACAATTACACTTTTATTCTCCTTTTCTAATTAAAATGTTCAACTTGACAGTAGCCCCACCATGTTACAACCAGAAACCTTTTCCCACAATGTGTTTTGCAAAGGATAAAGGGCATTGACAGCTATCCTGATTAGTAATTATGGGGTAATTTTCTTCACAATGATTTTAGCAGCATGTTGCATCCCAATGCGATCCAAATAGTTCCCTGTACATGTGATTGCGAGCAGACCAGAGTACAACAGATGAATAGTAAAACAACATTTTCATTTCTTTTTCCACATAGATTAGCTGTAAGGAAAAGGATACCACAGAAATGAGATCTTAAGAGCTGGGTTTAAGTGTTGCACTGGCTCTAACTCCGAGAGAGGTGGAAGTGTGTGGTCTCATTAGAAATGCATTAGAGGAAAGTGGAGAGCAGGAGGGAAGTTTTATGTGAAGAATATCCTCTCTCTCCATCTCTGTCTCAGTCAACACAACAGAGCACATGCACAGCACCCACTTCCACGACCCAATTAGTGTCACAAATCAAATTTGCATGCGACTCCTGAAAGTATTTCTGAGCTGAGAGAAACTAATCACAGTGCATACAGTGGTTATATTGATTCTAATTTAAAATGAATTTTAGTTTTTGAGTACCAACTCTCCATAATAAAAAAATATATCAAATGTATTGTTATTTCACACTGTCTTATTTCAAGAAACTAAATGTTTTTCCCCGTTTTGACACATACCAAAAGATTATAGTTTAGTAAACATCCAGTCATGATTTCCTTTTTCTTTTTATGTATTATTTTACATTCTCTTTGCATTTTGCTCATATTTTAAAAACACAACATACATTGAATACATAAATGCAAAATGTATTCCCTTGAGATGCATAGTTTCTGTGGGCTTGTTTTATCCTTCTCATTTCCCACACATAAACACTGGATACGTCACACGTGTATGTGGCTGTCCAGATTAAGCTGCAGTGAGGATAAAGCCACTTTGGCTCTGAGAGTAACCTGTGACAGGGACAGTCATCACAGAGCTGACCTCACCAGCGCCTCATGTAACAGCAGCTTAACACCGAGAGGGTAACTGTGGCAAACAAATGGCTTATGTCAGCACAAAACTTAGTTTAAATTGATATTATCATGCATTTTGTTTATCATATTGGCAGTGTAATATTTGTGGCAAAGAATCTACCACAAAAACAAAAAGGTAATATAGTTAGGGATAAGAGAAACTTATTTCTTAACTTAATTCTTTAACTTAAACAAGTTCTGTATACTATGTGATGCACAGCCACAAAAAGATATAGTAAAGACTTAAAGTTACAGCTAATTAGAAAAATATTTAATCCCTCCACTAGAAAGTCTGCTTTTTACGACTTTGCTGTTTCCTCCCACCATTCCATCATCTGTTTTATGAACATTAAATCAATTGATGATTTAACCATTAATTTGTTTATAATAATGCATATATATATTTGTGTATGAAAAATATGGCCTGTCTTTTCTTTCAGAATCAGACTACCATGGTCTTGACTGCCTGATTGGAGTTTATCCACTGGACCATGGAGCATGAACTGCGGATGGGGCTGTCCGTGTGGGCCATCGCTGCCATCATATGCAACTCTGTGGTGGGCGTCCTCATCTTGATCCTCTTTGTTATTCTGTACAAAGCTTGCAAGGTGCCTTCACAGCAAGAAAAGCAGCCTGTCCTGTCACTTGAGTCGGACAGGAAAACAGTAGAACAAAAGTACCTACTGTCTGCTGCTTGACTGAGACACTTTTAAATCGACATTATCACTTCTCCATTTTTGCCTTCACTGGTTTGAAATATGGGCTCTGTGAATGGCAAGACTGACAACGCCATCAAGCAGCGCAATCCTCTTATCTCGGTTGTGAGACGCTGGGACTGTCCATCTGTCAGTCTGTTTGCTTAGCGACACACATGGACAAACTGATCCCTACTCCACTCCCCTTCACATCACTTCAGATGTAGCAGCAGCGAGAAAATAGTGAACAAGTCGAAAACACAGTGAATGGGAGTACAAGAATAGGGCACATGTGGGTCAGGAAGATGACAGTCCCCACTAGAGGCAACAGCAAGACGGTGGAAGTAGCACAGAGCCACAAGCTGGTATTACTCCTCACTTTCAGCGAGACTGGAAAGACATTATTGTCTCCAATAGTAGTAAAAATATTTCAGGCTATTTTAAGGAAAATAGAAGGACACTTTTTAAAGCAATTGTGATCTTTGGTTCAAAATGTAACTAATGGGTTTGAAATCAATGACTCCCTTTGTCTATTTATTTATTTATTTATGTATGTATGTATATTTGCAACCATGTATGTAAATAGCCAACTATCACAGTTGCCTCAGATCAAAACTAAGACAAACATTCCATCCACTGATAAGCTAAAAAAAAAACCATATCATTTTCAATACATGTTATGCAATCCTGTTTTGTTTTGTTTTTTTTTCATTATTTTTAGGCTTATAAGTAGAACCCTATTTGTTTAGCAGCAAAGAACAGTTTCCTGCTTTTGACCACAAGCTCTCAGATATTCTTATCTACTCCACATTTTTCAGAATTGAAAGTATTTCTCCACAGTAACATCAGCCATATTTTTCTTGTAGAAATGAATCGTTGATGGGTAAATACTAATCAGTCACCAGCACAAGCAAAGTGGCCTCCAAAGAAAAAGGGTAGAGAACACAAAGCACTGATCAGTGCATTATTGTTTGTGGGCCTATAAAGGCTAATGGGTATAAGTTCTCCTTATCACTTAAAGGTCCTATATTACACAAAATTGATTCTTGTGAGCTTTAAGCCATGTTATAATGAAGCAGAATTCACCAAGCATGGGATTGTTCAACCTCTAATAGGGAACATGAGCTGGGTTTAGACATCATGAGACAGGTTAGTTTTACCCTACTGATGATGTGTTGTTGCAATAGCAATGCTGATCATCACAAAAACATCCCTGAAGTTCCTTTTATCTTTAGTTAAGTGGATGGCCAGTTCCAGGGCTGAAATTATCCAAATGATTCTAGTGAGGGTGTATGGAATTTAAAAACACAATGGAGCACTTCCTGTATACCACATGGCATCACAATGTGGAAAAGAGTGTTTTCCATCTGAGAGAAAAACCCAGCCTGAATATGCAGGGTTTGTGTTAAACATGTATAGATGAAACAAAACACAACTCAAGGTATGTTTGTGATGAGTATGTTGTGATGGTATGTTTGTCTTTTTTTTTTTTTTTTTTGATCAACAGATAAAAAAATAATAATTCAGGTGTGTGAGTATGCATGTTTTTAAAGTCATTATGTGCGGTGCATGTGTACATGTGCTTTGTAATGGCCTATAAGAGACAGATGGTGGGGGTCTTTGGTGCGCTGTTGATTTGGAAGTGCCACTCTACAGCTGTCTACTGTTTATCAACGTCTATTTATCTTCTTGCCAGTTTTCTCCCTATCCACATCTTTGGCTTCTGTTTATTTGTTCTGCATCTACCCTGCCACACTGCCAGAGCTGTGAAATGTGTCCAGTACTGAGGCGTGATCTGCTCCGCTGTGAGTCGCCTAGAGGTCAGTGCAATATTCCTCATTTCATCCACCAACATTTGTCCTGGGACAGTCTTCTTCTTGGATCTGAAACCATTTCAAAGCTAGCATGCATCTAGTCATGTATTTGCATTTCTGGTGAAATGGTGGTTCCTGGTTGATGTCTAAAGATTAACATAGAAAGCATGCAGTAAAAGGTTTAAATTAAAGGTCCTATATTACACAAAATTGACTCTTGTGAACTTTTAGCCATGTTAGAGTACTGCTTCCTCATCAAAAACATACCTGGAGTTGTATTTTGTTTTAGTCACCCATGTTGAATAATCCTGCATTATTAGTCTGTCTACATTTCAAATGCTCAAAATGCTCTGTTCCACCTTCATCTAGTGGTAGTTTCCAAAGGGTAGTTTTACTTTTGATTCAGTAGAGATTGGAAATTCCATGATCCACATGGTTCTAGTGAAGGTGTATGGCATTTCAAAACACTGTGTCACATCACACAACACACACACACACACACAACATCAGCAGGTGTCACAGTTTTTTCCATTTGAGGGGTATGTTTGTGGTGAGGAAATAACGTTGTAACAGAGATACAAAAATAGCATAATTTGGGCCCTTTAAGACATTCTTTGGTAAGTTTGTGCAGCGCCTCAGTCATCTAATTTGCCTCATAATTTAAAGGTGTTTGGATGGACACAAAAACATATTAATCTTAAAAACCTGGTTTTACTGACTTTCATATCTTTGTTCATAAATTATAATCTGATCTACTAATTCCATTCAGGGCCATGAAATAGGGACAGCAGTGCACTGATATATGACATTCTTTAACTCATTTATTCCCTTGAGCAAACTACATCTGCCTATTCACTTTACACATTAGTCTTTTGCTTTTGGGAGGAAGTCAGAGAACTCTTCTAAGAGATTACCAACTACTTGGTTTTCTGAACTGCTATATTTGTATTAGAAATAATGTTCATGTTCTTAAAATGAATATAAATAGATAATCCACAAAATGTTATTCTTGTCTTTGAGTCTTTATATTATAGGCCTATATTGCACTTGTCTTGTTGCACTTTAGGGCCACCACAATGTTGACCAATCAATCTCACTTTTTCAGGAGTCCACATGTCAAAAACCTCTTTTCCAGTATAGTGTGTTCAAACTGCCAGAAAACTCAAACACAGGGTTACATAATGATCAGGGCAAATATTCTTCACAGGGAGATTACTAATAAACATACGAGAGCCTGGTAATCTGCTACTCCATCTGCACCACTGGAGGGGTTGCATAACATACATCAGGACACATCCAGTCACAGCCAGTTGTTTGTTTGCACCAAGGATCAAATATTAATCCGGACATTACATCCTTCAAATTGTTTTCAAAAAAGTTTCAAAAGTTTTTAAATTCTATAGGCATTTAAATTCTTAAGCACGTCAAAGTTTAATTAACAAAGTCTTGGTCTCGACAGTAAAATATAGATATTTAATAAATAACAATAAATGCTAGTTAAATTAACACTTAAGGATGCGACTCAGACTCTGAGGAAGATGAATGATTATTAATGGAATTTTATTCAAAGAGATAAATTATTGACAAGTAGAAATGCATTAGCCTGTAGATACTGTTGCAAAAACACTAATAAAAATTTGCATTTGTGTTTGATTTTGCACAATAGCAGTTTTTACATAAACTTGTATGGATGAAAAGGGAGGCCGGAGGTCACTCTAGGGAGAGTCTTCTCTCACGGAATGAGCAATTTCCTTGGTATTACCATTGTGTATTACTGACAGGAGTGCACGGCTGCACTCTGCTGGTGACTCTAATTATTGTAGGACAAGTTTTGTGGCTTGAATTGCTTGTGCACTGACTTTTAACGAGAATGGTGACTTATAGTCTAGATGGGCTCTTTTTCCTTTGTGTTTTACCAAGAGGCTCAATATAATTTTTGAATTTAGTGTACTAAATATAGTAAGGTATTTATTAGAATTTAATCACATTCCTTTAACAATTTTTATTTTCAAGATTTAAATAGTAACAGACACATATACATTTAAAGTGCAAAATTGAATATGTAGGCCCATACTTAAAAATAAGCATAATGGGCAACGCCTTAGACTTAGACCAAAAGGCCTAATAATAATTCTGATAAAGTCGTTTTACTGTTTATTCGTTCCTAAACACTTTGGCCCAGTCTACAGTATTTGGAGACCTCATAATAAAGTAACTTGCTGCTCTCACGTCACATAATTCAACAATGATAAGGCTGCGTATTCAGACCAGGAGACGCTACCCGGAAGTGGGAGTCACCGTCACCGCGCACTCGTCGACATACTGCTGGGATGAGACTGTTATGAATCTGGAAGCTCCATAGTTAAATCTATATTTAAGAGTTATCACCAAACATTAAACCTCCTGATTGTCTGTAAAGAACTTCGGAGGGTCGGTTGGTCGAGGAGCCACCGCAAAAATGATGGAAGAAATAGACAGATTTCAAGTGCCCAGCGTCGTGCAAGATGCGGAGATGCAGGCGGAGATGCAGCCGTTGGTAAGCAGCATCTGTGGACCGATCGACATCGAGTATCCGCGACTGCATCTTTTCGTTTGTTTAGGCCAGTGGTGGTTTCAATTAGCCCATCTGGCATTTATCCCGTGTCTAGGGCCTTACATTACGTCAATAGGCTTCAGCTCAAAACAGTGATTTTTGCATGTTAATCGCCCTTTTCGCATGATTTCCCCCGTGTTACTAAATTAGCAGCTGCTTGTGGATGAATTATTTGTAAATGGGCGTTTTGTAAATGCACAGTTGTGGCTAGGGTATTGATGCTCGCAGCATCCGGTGATGTTTGCGTAAAGCCGCATCACGTTTGTCGAAAATAAACCTTTGTATCACGACAGTCTCCACGTCAGCATCAAGTGGGCTCTAGCTTACGCAGCGGATTTTTGCACTTGGGCCTATTTAATACCTGCTGAAATATGACAGGACTGAATGCGCTGTGTAGATCTTATAAATGGGGGCTATAGATGCGCCCTGTGGCCTTTGCGGGGGCCAGAGTTACTGCATCTTCACAGTCCTAGAAGTCACACCAAATACAAAAGAACTGTGTCTTATTCATAGTGAATGTGAACTAATTGTCATGGGTATTTCAGGGCACTTGTTACAATATTTAAATGTGTTTGTTTAATACAGATTTAGTTAGATCTATAGCCTACCAGCCTAGATTATGATGATTAGGCTATAGGCTTACATCAAATATTAATGATGTGTTTTTGTAATACATTGCTCATGTTGTGTCCTATTGTTCCAGGACCCAGCCTCCTCCACTGCCTTAGAGGCCGACTCAGACACCAGGGAGAGCGAACCTGTCACCATCAGCTACAAGCCCTCCCCACTGCAGATGAAAATAGGTTATACAAACACCGTAAATGAATCGTTTACTAGTTATTGAGAGCAACGTGTCTGATCAAACTTCACATATAGACAAGAGTTGGCTTTGAACTTATTTCAGCACCTTGGACAGAGTCCAATAGGACAAATACTTAATTCAAAGTATTTAGATTTTTTTTTTTAAGTTTTGAAATTATAAATTTGCATAACAGTTCTGTGCAATTAATCAAAGTAGAACTGATATTGGATTCAATAATTTCTATTCTTTAATGATTAGTTTGGTTATTTGTAATCAAGCTCAAACAGTTCAAACTTTGGAGTAAGAAATTTAAATTAAATTACACCGATTGAAAGTCTATTTTGTTCATGTCTATGATAATTGAAAGCCATATTTACTAATAGGTTAGTACAGCTTTAACACCAATGAGTGTCTCACTCATAACTGGATGTATCTCTTATGCAGAGAAACAGAGAGAACTTGGGAGAAAGGGTTCACTGAAGAACACAAACACTGTGGGCAGTCCAGTCAACCAACAGCCCAAAAAAAACAATGTTATGGCCAGAACACGGTGAGAAACTCTGCTTTTCTGTTATCAACAGATGTAAACAGTCTGTAGCATATGCAGTGTTCAGGGTGTATGGAGACAACCTCAAGAGAGTCAATGACCATTGACAGTAACATTGAAGGATGGGTCAAATTACAATTAATCAATGATCAATCAAGTCAATTGCATGTGTTTTTGACTGAGAGGTCCACAGCCAACCCTCAGAGTTTAGCCTAGTTTTTGTAATAATTAAGTCTATTAGGGAAATTATTTAATTAAGAAGGTTATGCAGGCTGTGTAATACATCTCTTTCATGTTATTTCTTCTCCTCCACAGGTTGGTAGTGCCAAATAAAGGATATTCTTCATTAGATCAGAGCCCAGATGAGAAGCCTTTGGTGGCCTTAGACACAGACAGGTATAACAAGCATTCAATAAGCATTTCACTATTATTTGTAAATATTTTAATATTATTCTTAAAGCTTACTTATATTTTCTTTTTCAGTGATGATGATTTTGACATGTCGAGATACTCATCATCGGGCTACTCATCTGCTGAAGTAAGTATTGTATCAGATTTATTTAGGGCTCGTGCCATATCTGCTCTTGAACCCCACGCACGCAAATTCTTTCAATAAATATGCAAATTGAAGATGCAACATCTACTGTAAATAACAATTGTATTTCTTTGCTTGCACTTGGTACTCAATTTAAATTATGGGATTTTCCATTCGTCATTTATCATACTGTAGATTTGCATATTGATTTAAAGGAGCTCTTTAAACCCTCGACTTTTAGTCGTCCATGACATAATTGTTTCCCTTTCTCATTTAGAATGATTCACCCATTGAATAATAATTTTCCTGTATTCCTGTATTTAATATGTCATTGCTCAAGTCTACCCCCATTTCCATCGCTACTGGTACATGGCCACGCTCTGTACTTACTTTTTTCTCTAATTTTATTTTCTCAGTTGGTGATACATGTAAGATTTGAGCAGCGTCACGTGGTAGCTTTATTTACCGTTATCAGCTATCTGTAGAGATTCCGACAGCATGATCCAGTAGAGCTGCACTTTACTGTGATGACATTTGTGATGTCTATGACTCCCATTGTGCTTGATAATTTTCCATCCTGAAAGTCAGCAAACTTCTTTCTTTTATTTGAGTTGTTTTAAATAAATATTGCAATTTTAAATGCCCAAAATATAATGTAATGATCCACAGGTTATAACTATATAGCAAATAGCAAAAAAAAGCACAGTGATTTTGTTTTTTTTTACATATATGTAGAATGCCATTCTTTAGAATAACATGCATTCTTACCATATTTTTAAGACCTGATCTGCAAATTGGCCTGATGATGTCGCCTGCTTGTCTCCATGGAGAGATATGTTTAATGTTGTACTATGGAATATTGTAGGCAAAACAATAACATCACAATGTAGACAAGCAGGTGACGGACCCTCCACCAGAAAAGTTATAGAGTGCAAGTCAACATCTGCAATTTCAAATACACTTTTGTTTTTATTTGCAGCAAATCAACCAGGATCTCAACATCCAGCTGCTGAAAGATGGTTACCGTCTTGATGAAATCCCTGATGACGAAGACTTAGACCTGATCCCACCCAAATCTGTGAACCCTACGTGCATGTGCTGCCAAGCCACCTCCTCCACCACCTGCCACATACAGTAACACTTACATACACTTACAAAACACAGTCAAACAGAAAGAGTACAAATACACTAACATAGAAATACAATTACATTTAGAGATAGACTGATATCTTGGTTAGTGCAAATAAGGCTGTCATTTATTTTTATTATACTTTTATAATGTAGAGCAGTGCACTGTGTAGACTGTAATTAAGGTTATTGTAAATTCATATGAGAAAAATTGGGAAAAAAGGTAAGAATTGGCTCATCATATCACACTGAAATATTGGCAGGTCGTCGTTTGCTCTGGATTCTACAAAATGGCATTGGAACAGCGATGAAAAAAAAAACATCTTTATTGATCTCTAACTAGATTACAGAAAGAATACATTTGGTAATACAATTACAACACAGTAATATACCGTAACACACTAACACACACAACCACAGTAATCCTCACATAACATAGCTCAGTCTACAGCTGGAGGAGCCACAGCAGAAGAGATCAGTAGAAAATTGTAAAAATTGTTAAGTGCTATGATGATAATGACAATGAAAAATAAATATTAAGTTATTACATTTGTTTAAGTAGGGCATAAGACAGACGTAGATACCATAATATTACATTAATTGTATTTGACTGGCATTTCCTCCTATGGCAGGACTATAGTGTGTAAGCAATTCTGCTGTTATCTGGGAATTGTAATGTAACTGAGGCTGAAGTGAAAACATAACTCACCCACACTATCTTAACTTGACTTTGTTTGTCTTAATGTATTTTTATTATTTCAGTATTTATTTAACTTGTCATATGAATTGGGACTGATTTGAGTGTACTGATATGTGAGGACTTTGATACAGGCTAAAATGAGCAGCACATTGTCTGCCGTTCCATATCAGGTTGTAATGTAGCACTGGCTGGACCATCACACGTTTTATGTTTTACTTCTTTTCACCTATTGCCTCCAGTTGTTGCTATGGTAAGGGGTACATATAGGATTGTGTGGCTGAAGATCAAATGGCATGACTAAGAGAAGAGAGAATACTTGAATAGCACTTTGTTAGTCGGAAGTCCATAATTTGGTTTAATTTTGCACATTATTTTTCATATGTTTGCACAATTTCCGGCAAAACAATGATAGTACCTTATCTGATCTATACTGTGTCAAAAGGAAAAGTGAACTGTTGCACAAACTATGTCACCTATATGGTAAATTATATCAACAAGGCCAAAGTCTACTGTTGTGTTTGCAATATGTTTCCCTTCCCCCCAGGTTTACCTCTTTAACAATGATTATTGTGGAAGTATGGTCTCACAAAAAAAAAAAAAAAAAAAAAAAAAAAAAAAACATGTATGCACATGCATGCACAAAGTGATGCAATTTCCACATGAAGATTCATTTTGATTCAGCTATTAAACACAGCGCTGTTTTTTAATCCCCCATAAATCTATGAATTAATTGCATTTGAAGTATGCCTTAAACTACTGAGATGTTGTCATCTTTTTCTTTTTAATTATTTGTTGTTACTACAAATGTTCCTGTTTAGAAATGAGTGACATTTTTTATTATTTTATTTTAATATTGTTATTGATTTCACTGTGTGGTAACCTCTTCCACTATGAATAGTATTTAACAATGTTATTGTTAAAAAGTGGAGTGTATTATGATAAATAAAAATAAATAAATGCATTGCAAAAATATTATTATTATTAATTTCATTTTTTTTTTACACAAAGGACATTCAGTTAGTGAATAAAGTCTTGATCTGAGTAGTTACTCATTTAGTATTCAATAAGAGTAATACAACTTAATATATGAAAAAGAAAATACTTTTTTATTATTCACGCATTTGCATCAAAATAACATCAGTCTGATATAATATATTGCAATAATATGGACTCAGCTGGCAGCCATTTGTTACAGTTCAGCAGAATAAAAGCATTCATCTGAAAGGCACCAGCAAAATGTGTATCACATATTGAAAAGTCAGCTCAACCATACAAATGTAGACGACTATAATACACCACATTTGTGAATGTAAAATATTTGATTGACACACAAGATTCCCATAACAAAAGAGACAACACATAACTGTTAAAACAGAAAGAATGTTTCAAAGACAAAAAGGTTACATAGAGAAATTCTGTCTAAAAGGTCTGTTCATACTTTACCACATGAGGGGAAAACAGCTACAACAATCTGGTAACTACATTCTCTGCATTAATGTATTGGAAGTCAGCTTCATAAGTGGCACAAATGGCGTTTAAGACCAGACTTAATGTGTAACAACTGTCTGCATAACAGATTTCATAGGTAGATTTCCAGGTCCCATCAAAAGGCACAGAATGTTTTGCTCTTGTTTACACTCCTTGAGCAAATGTGTGTTTATACTAAAAGTGAGAATCATAAAATGTGTTCTTAACCCTGGGTTGTTACTCAAACACTCTGTAAACATTAGCGTAAATCATTGAGTTACATGTTTTAATGCTATAATTTAACATTATTATGAAAAAGTCATGACATTTTCATTACACAAATGGTCACCCACATGCTTTACTTAATTATAAAGTTCCAAGCCAAATATATAAATAAAAATGAACAAAATTCATCTAGGCTACATTTGTACATTTTAGTATAATAAGTATTCTGGTAATAAGACATTGACATAACACTGTGGTAAATAAACCTAGACAACACTATACAAATGCAATGAGCTTAACTCTCTGAATTTGAATCCAGCATATCAGTTTACTCATTGTGTTCCTCAACATTGTGTATATAAACAAGTGTTTATAAAGCTTTATCGTGTTATTTACCTATTAATGTCACATTATTTATCTATTAATGTAATGTAATGTAATTCATGAACAAGAAGAACAGTGTTTTAAATAAATACACACAGACTCTGTAGAGGAAGCTGAGGAAGAAATTAGAGCTTGTTTGCACAATGTTACATGCAAACAAACTCTGAGTGGTCAGACTGGTCTGGACATGGGTCAAGTGCACACACCACACAGGGTATGTTTTGTGTAAACCTGTTTCTTCATGTGCCTGTAGTTTTAACTGTAAGTGTATGATGTGCTTCACTCAGAGCTGATGGGGCTCCGGTCTCCAGACTCAGATGAGGACAGGGACACTGAGCAGCGGCGCCTCTTTGCCCCCCCTGAGCCCTGAAGCATGCTGGGATGGAAGCCTGCGTGTCTCCGGGCATGCTTGGTCAGGTGGTCACTCCTCATGAAGCACTTGTCACACAGGGGGCAATGGAAACGCTTCTCTCCTGTGTGGGTGCGATAGTGACGCGTCAGCTCATCTGAGCGGGAGAACTTCTTACCACAGCTGGGCCAGGTGCATTCAAATGGACGTTCACCTATGAACAAAGCAGCATTATGTGAAAAGTCCTTGTAGTCCTGCTGCTGTAGTGACATAAGTCATATTATAACTCTTTCACTATTTCATTACAAATATCTTTTTGGAAATTACTTTATTTTTTATTTTTTAAGCTTCAAGAAATAAATAAACGATTAGACTGATCTTGAGAAGTTAAGAGGATCATAAGAGGGCAAAAATATCTGCTATATTGCGTCCGTGTGGAGCCTCCTCCTTCCACCCCTCCACGTGCGCCTCTGAACCACATGTCTCCTCTTGTTTACAACCGTCGCGAGGGGGAGTGGCGGTCGTGACGTGCGAGGAAATAGAGGCGCTCGAAGGTTATGTCCGGACAGGAACGTGTGGGAACAATGTCGCAGTGACCCATGTGAATCATAAGGCAATATGTTATATCGACATCGGGCCTGATACACCGTAAAACGGCGCGTAACAAGGATGTTATCAATCTTATGCGGTAACTGGTTGGGACCTGTAATATAGCCTACCCACTTGAGGTGATAAAATGGGCGGTGGTGGCAGACAAGTGCAATTCTTACAACGGATCACTGCGTATAGTGGAGAGGGGCAAACAACGCCCCGGCCTATAGCTTTGCACGCTATAGGCAGGCCAGTCACACCCCCACCAGGCCACATTTGTGGGCTACCCGTTCCAATAATCTGCATTAGAGCATGTGCTTTCTCGCTTACCCCACCCACCCAACACACGATGCAGAACTGCCAAGCGCAGACATTATGACATTCAATAAAAATATTAAGTGTAAATAAATTTAGCAGCGTTCAAGGCTCACTTCAAACAAATGCATACACTGCTCCGGTTTGTGTGTTGTGCAGCGTCTTACCGGTGTGAACCCTTAAGTGGGCTTTAAGGTGGGACGATTTGCCATACATTTTGTCACACCCGGGAAAGGGACAGCTGTGCCTCTTCTCGAGAGTTTCTTGACGAGGCTCGCTCCTCTTTGCCTGGGACAGTTTGGGTGCCTTCACCCGGCATTCTCTCCTCTCTGTTAGGTCGAGTGACGAAACCTCACCGGACGCGCCCATTACGCCAGGGTTACACTTTTTCAAGTCCAGTAAAATCATTGCTACCATCAACAAAGTCCGGTTTTCTTGGTTTTCCTTGAGCGTGTCCTCTGCGCGCCCCATTGGTCGGAAGGGAACGCAGTCAGTCGAGAACTCAGACATGACTGTCGCAGAAACAGAGGCGTAAAAGCAGCAGTGATTGTCCAAAGTAGGCTATTACCGGGATACACAAGGAGCAGAGGTTCCTCGGTAAGCATGCGGTCAGCGCTCCACACGTGTCGTCTTCAATGTGACTATTCCGCTAAGGTTGCGTTTTCTCAGAGGTGCGGGGTGAGTAAATAAACACCGCTCCGATGAGATAGCCTTTCGACCTGAGCCACCGCCTAATTTCTTGTCTTTCTTAAGCAATTTTTGTTACCAAATCTCGTAACCTTACTGCGTACAAACTGTCTTGTGTCTCTTATGCGCCAGCTCACGCGTCAACTAGTCCTAATTTATGTGAGCGCCACTTCTTCCAAATCCCAAGAAACAATTTCGCGGAATCCCACGTTGTCATCATAAAGCTGCCCTGTAATTGGCTAGCATAAAACGTGAACAACTTCTTTTCCTTTTTTTTTCAAGCTTTGCCTTGGTGAAAGATAGAAGGCTCGTCCAATGAAAGAATAAATTGGGAAAACTGGGGGCTGGCCTGGTTTGTGGCGCCTTCAAATGCTCAGAAGAGATGGGAAAAAATTGGAACACATGCGCGCTAATGTTTTTTTTTTTTTTTAACTCCCCCCCCCCAATAAAGTCGTCAGCACATTAAATCGTAACTAAACGTATTTCAATATAATTGACAATTTCCTTGTTGGGGCCCGGTTTTAAACTAGCTCAGTGATCAACATGTAAATTGATCGACCTTCTTGTTGGAGCCATCATGTTCTTTCAGAATACAGTTGTTGGCATATGCGTCAGGCATATGTGCACCAGTTTCACAAGTGTGGCGTGGCCTTATCCCGAATTAGTGCAGCCCTCGACTGCCCTCAGGGTTATACTTGAACTGCACTTGACACCGCTCTGACTGGTTCAGTTAACACTCAGTTTTCTGCTCAATATAATCTCTTTACTTTAATACCCTGAAGCAGTTTAAGAACCGCTGACTAGGCACATCAGTTGAGTGAAAGCGTGAGCCTGAAACATAATGTAAACACATAACAATGTAGTAACAAAGTCGTGAGATGGTTCCAAAAAGCTGCTTCCTGGCACAAAGTACACTGCGTCCATCAAAGTATTAAATATACTAGTAGCTGGTGAGACACAAATAATGAAATGCTATTGTGCAGAGTGTACTTGAATAGAACACGGCAGTGGGTGGTTCATTCATGGCTGAAGTTCCTAGAAAAGCGCACTCGGATTTTGGGGGTGGATCCGTAGGCAGTCCTCCCTGACTTCAGCAAACAACTGAGCAGTTGTTTATTACATAGGCTACAGTCCCAGTTTTAGACAGGGTACACGCTTTTACACAGTAATCTAAGGCCTGGCGTGTGTAAAGACTACAGGTGAGCTCGGTCGTGTCCACGCGCACGTGTGTGTTTTTAAGCGTTAAACTAAATACTCTACTATGCTCGCCTCAAATGCCCTCACCCTCACTTGAACTCACTGCTCTCCCCTCATTGTCCCTCCTGGAAACTCGCCCCCACATAGTTCAGCTGCAGACCCCCACATTTCTTGGAAAAAAACATCCAGTCAAAACTAGGTAAGCCCCTCCTTCAGAACGGCAAATGTCTCATTTGAGCATTTGTACCATGTATTCTCAACTACAATTTTGTAAAGTCATAGTTGAGTTCTCGCGATGCGTGTATTTGTTTTTGAGTGCGTGACGGAGAGTGCGATACGCCTGAGGTGATCTTAAACCAGAACGAGAATGAGAACTGAATGTTCCCATTCACGTGCCGAGCCTGCCCTGATGATGCACCAATGCAGTCCTACGTCCTTATATGAAAAACCCACAAAGTCACGGATGGACATACACGGCAGCGGCAGACTGGAATAAATCCATAACACTGCGATAGTGTTCTTGATTTAACATGGAAAACTTTTGAAAAATCAGTGCAACACAATTGGGTACTAATTACGTGAAACTCAATTTCTGCAGTGTATTTCAAGTGTCTCAGTTTAAAACTTGCACCTGTCCACTGAGATCAGCGGCAGTCACAGAAGCGGTGGGGTTCAGCGTTGACTTCTAATGCCCTGCCTGCCTCATTACTCTTCACACCAAGTACGTTTGAAGTTATAGACCTCCTGCTGGGTGTTTTACGGCTTTGCGCTGTCACTCGCGATTATCAGAAAACAAATGCACATGTTCCTGATGTTGCAGTAATTTAAAAGGTTCACGAAAGAGTTTTACTTTGATGTTGTAGATACTGCCACAAATCATGCTACCTGAAGCTATACAAATAAGAAACACAAAATTCACTTTGTTACTAAATAGCAATAAAATTAAAGGCAATAATAATATTATTTTAATAAATTATACAATTAGCCATAATTATATTAAGGCCATAGGAGAAACATGGTTTACTTCACTGAATCAGCTGCATCCATAGACCTTACTAACTTAAAAGGCAGTTTTCTCACATCAAGAGGTCATCCCTTAAAGTAGCACCAAACCAGAGCAGGATTTGGTCATGTTTAATAGATTAGGTTTTATCTAAAAAACGAACACATCTACCTGTCTACAGATATCCAAAACCTCTTCAGTACAACATGTATATGTAATGTAATAGTCCATGTCATTATATATATGTATGTGTGTGTGTGTATTTTTTTATTTTATTTTATTTTTTTACAAATTTGACAATACTAGACCAAGTAAAACAGGCATGAGTCATGGTTTATCAATCTATGGAATTGTTTATTTAACAATGCATGCCAGACATTATTCTATACACACTTAACAATACAGGTTTTGTATTTGGATCCAAATACTCACTACTCTGATTTCATATGATACGCACTCTAAATCAATCTCTCTCTCAGTCTTGTCTTCACATGTCACCTCTGTACACGCTGAGTGGAAGAACCACATGCATTTAAGTAACATTAACAAAAGTAAGTTCTGTCAAAGGGGTTAGCTTCCCTTTTAGTTGTAAAAAGCACTTTATCAGCCATTATTGCAGAAAAACGTGTGCGTGAAGTTTATGAGCCCCAGGTCAAGATAGGAGGGAGGGAAATCTGCTGATTTTCCATTGAAAAAGTGTACCCATGCTGGCAATCCTCATCAGTAATGTTGGTCATGGTATTGAAAAGTAGTAGTAAATGATTACTCTCATAAACAACAAAAGATGTATATGTTTTGCTAGTCCTAAGCATGGATAAATGGATGGTTGTGATGTACATAACTGCACACTGAGTGACAGATAGTGAGCACTGAATATTTGAGTAAAACAAACTGTGATTGTAATTATTTAAATGAAGTTGTTGGAATGAATCTCATAGGGGCATCTGTTTGTCGAATCGGTTTATTCCAATATTTTAGTATTATATATGTGTAGATGTCACAAAAAAGCACATTTTACTTGGGGACAGATTTTCTTCTGTATGAGCAAATGTTCTCAACCTATTGCTGAGAAGCTGGAAGCTGAAACCGATGAATAAAGTAGTTTGGTATAGAGTTTTGTGGTATAGAGTTTTGTTTCTTATTCACAACTATATATGGTTAAATATGATATTGCCATAAAACCGAATACACAGGAGATTTCCCACAATCCCGCAAACATGGCTGTACGACTCTTAAAGCACAGTGATATAATAGGTAACCTGCTGTTCCCTTTTCTGTTCCCCCGTGCATCACTAGGTTATGTTGTCCCTGAGTATCAACTTGGGTCAACCTCTCCACAAACACTGTGCCCCTTACATTTCATCAAAGGAAAGTCCCATTAAAAATCGTCAAGTTAATATTCTTAAGATTTTGGATTGTCAGACAAATAAAGTTGGGACTATCAATAAATATGCAGATGATCTACTGCAATTTCACCATGAGGTTGGTACTAAACTCTCCAAACCATGTGCAAACATTATTTAGGCAAACATTTTAATTTGTCTATTATTTTAGATTTTCTTTTGTAAATTAATATTATAATTATACAAGCATTATTTTACAATTCAGTAATTGCACTAAACCCCCTTCTGTACATCCGATAAGTTTAAAATAAGAAATATGCATACGTTTGTACAAAGTATGTAAATGAGTGAATGAGTGTAAAATACTTCACATAATTGGGCTCTATAATCAAGGAGAAAGGAAGAATGAGACATTTCAAAAAGCTTCATGACTACATACACCATCCATGCCCAGAAGGCACCCTTAGTTTGGTATACTGGCAAAGCATTGCCGTGTCAACCATACATTAGAAAAATCTCTGATAAAACATACAATAAAAAGTACTTTAAATATGATTAAAATGTACAATATATTCAACAATATATTAAATGTAATAAATAATATAATACATCAGTATTTAGTGCATGTATATGATGATCATCTTTCATTTAATCTAAAAGAGTAATTAGAAAATACTTATTATTGACAAAAATATTACTGAGAAGATATACATATCCATTTCATAAATCGAACAAGCATTATTTATAATAAAAGAAATATCTGAATCAATCTGAAAATAAAAGCAACATGAATATTATGTATTAAACAAAGGTAAAAGTTTTCAAGGTTTGCAAATATGCTTGGAAAAAGCTGGCAAAGGGCATTGCTTCCACCGTTGCTTACATATATTTTTTATGCCATACTCATTTATGTTTTCATAGTTCTTGTTTTCTATTGATTTGTGCATTATGTGGTAAAATGTGTGGCTTCTATAATGAACTGCCTTTGTTAAGATTTTAAAATCTTTCTAGTGTCTGATTACTTCAAATCATCAATAATAAATACTCAAAGGATATGTAGGACGGATGCTTGAAGTGTAGGTGTTAAATAAATTACTGTAAAGACGTAGGAGACTGAACTACACGACTGGAAGCGAATGTTTTTGGTGTCTAAGCGGAATAAGGTTCACATTAAGTTCAACAGTGACATTTGTGTCACGACTACGGCGCCCTCTGGTGTTCCTTTTCAACAATTGCACTTATTAAAGATATATATAACGTGTATTAGCTGACAAAGTACATGCTTGAAACTTTTTTTTTTCAGGTGCTTATAAACATGATGAAGCAGTAGCTTCGTCACTGGACCTCAATTAGGCAACACCCTCAAATAAGTTGATCAAAACAGAATAAGCAAGACATGTGGACAACATACAATATGTATTTTTAAAAGGTGTACTGTATGTTCCGAGGTAAGCTGTTGTAAGTTTGTGATTAGAGATATTTTCCAAACCAGGCAGTGCTGGGGTCAATACGTTTGTCCTGTTCATCTTTACCATACAGAATATTGCAGCAAGCAACAAGTAACAAATGTGTATAAAGAGATAAACAAAAAGGTGATTTAATAGGGACCAATGCCAACTTGAAGTAAAAGGTGAAAGGAAGACACAGTACAGGTACACCTTCCATTGCCGTGACACCACTGAGAGTAGCTACAAGAGGAGGTACAGACTAGTCTAGACTCATAGCTCTTTGATTTTGAGAACAGTAGGACCTTCCATTAACAGCTCTTGGTGCAGGGCTTAACTCTAGACCTGTTTCAGAACAGATGAGTAGTTTATAGGTAACTTCACCCTGTGTTAACTTGTACTTACGGACTTGTCCTCCGCGGTCCCCACACATCGTGTCATGTGTAGTTCTGCCTATCAAAGCTGCGGAAGGCTGAGGGATGAGCCAGCTTCCTCATTGAGAGACTGTCAGTCTTAGCTGTTTCAGGCCTAGAGCCAGGCTTGCTCCTGAGGAAAGGGTTTCTGGGTCCTGCCAGACCCCGGCCCACAGGCACAGGCCCGACCACAGCCCCCCTGTCTGCCCCCAGGGCTGGGCCCCTCTCCATCCGTTCACTCACTGACAGGCTCTTCCTGTGCGGAGGAGCCAGTGTGAGCGAAGGATGGGAGTCGTCTGAGGAGCAGCTATTGGCCCGCTCCAGCCTGGAGTAGGGGGGGCAGAGGGGGGCCCCACTCGGCCCACTAAAGCCCACACGAGCAGTGTCTGGGGCCGGGATCAGCTCGTCAGGGTCCTCAGGGTCTGACTCTGTGTGGCTGAGCTCGGCCTCTCTCTCTGGGTGAGATGCAACAATCTCTGGTGGCTTATCAAAAGGGAAAGAGGTGGAGGCTCCAGGGGAGTTGGAGCGCTCAACTGGTGTGTAAGGAGTTGACACACAACGCGTGTCAATGCAGTCAGTGATGCTGGTGTACTCCGCAGCTTTGACTTGGACACCTGGTCCCAGCCCGCCATAGCAGCCTCTTGGTGTGAACATGAGGCTGTGGGACTTGACCAGAGGGGGCTCATCCAGAAAAGATGTGCCGACAGTGGAGAGGTAGCGGCTGCTCTTGGAGCGCTCCAACAGGCCAGCTGAGGGTGGGGGTGAGGGTTCTGTGTCCCAGGGAGGTAAGCTTGTGTCTGGTAAGAGGTGTGCAGAGCACAGAGACAGATCTGCTGCTGCACTGTCGTCGTACATGGCCCCTGTCCCAGTGCAGCCGGTGCCGCCCTCCGAAGGCCTGTCGCCCAATCCGCTAGTCGTAGCGCTGCTGAAGTCCCGGCCTCCCGGCAGCACCATCTCCCCTGTATCCGACTGCAGTGACAGGCCCCGATAGAGAGGTGGGACCACACGGAGAGGATCCAGGAAGACCTCTGCAGGCCCCACCTCCTCAGATGTAGACACATAGATGTCTATGCATGAAGATGGACGGTGCTGCTGGGAGACTGCCAGCGTGGCCAGCGGGAGGGGCTTAGACTCTTTGGGGGCGGCAGCTGAAGACACTGACTGTGAGCTATTGGCGCGATGCAAACTGAGGGAGCGCTCTTTGAAGAAGCTATCGGCCCGCTCTGCTCCACTAGGGCGCTCCCCTCCACGAGCCCCTCCCACATAGAAGGAGTGGCTCCTGACACGAGTGGCGATGGTGGTGGGAGAGGGCGGGGACATAGAGCCCAATGCTGCTCCCTCCAACTCTTCTGGGAGGCGATATGCGTTGCCCTCTGTACTGTTGAAGCTGCTTTGACGGAGAATGTATGAGGGGTCAGGACACTCTCCTTGGCGTAGCATGTATGCAGAGTCAGTGCAGTCAGAGGAAGTTCGGGAGCGAGCTTTGTTCACCTCTCCACGCTCGACGCCTGTCACTCTCTCCAGAGCTACAGTGATACGTCCAATCAGCTCCTCCATCTGAGCAAGACGAATATCCACAGTCTGCAGTGAGGCTTTCATGAAGTGTTCCCTTTCATTGACTTCCTCCAGACGCATTGCCATATTCTCCACTCTAACAAGGCAAAAAATAGAGATCACTTGTAAAAAAAAATAAAATAAAATCCACACTAAAATGAAAGGTTTTAAAAAGCACACCTTTCGGACGTAACTCTGATGCGTTCATCGTTTGAGGAGTGAAAGTGGTCATCTTTCTCTCTGAAATACTCCTCGATACATTGCTCTTCAAAGTCATGTACTTTCTTCAGCTCGTCCTCAGTGATGAAAAGCTCTGAAGGTAAATAAGAAAATGTGACACACATTATATTTTACAACTAAAGTGGCTAATCAATGTTTGTTGAATCTAAAGAAATCAAAAGAAGACTCACTCAGTCCATAATCCCTCTCATCATCGTCGTGCTTGCGCCAGCGACAGCACAGGTGCTTGAGGACCATAGTGATGTGACTGAAGATGATGAGGGGTGGAGGAAGCACTGGTCGTTCATGGAAGGTCATGATGAGCTGGTATCTCTGGAACTTCCACACCTGATTAGAGATGGACTTCACCTCAAAGAATGTGTTACTACAATAACGTCAAACAAATTAATGTGTCTGTTAAATTGTGAAGCAATAACTATAATACTACTCAACGAAAAGAATTGACATACTTGAATACTGCTATGAGAAGGTTGACCAGCAGTATGTTGGCTACCAAAAGATAGCAAGCCATTATAGCTGGGACAATCCAGGCACCTGTCTTACACGGAGGCAGGGTCACCACTACCCCATCCGAATTAGTGACATTCTGTCCACAGGGAGCTGTTTTTTACCATACACACAAAATATACAGAGGTTACTAGCACGGACAAGGCAAAAAAATATGTGTATAAAATAATTTAGAAATATTGCACAACAATATGTGATATGCACAGTAAAATAAATAATGACAATATGTCACTCAAACATCTCAATAGACAAACAAAAGAAAAGGTAAGAAAAATAAAAATATTGAATTCAGCAAACAAACAAGAAGCATTTGTTTTATGCTTCTTTTAAAAATGGCTATATTTAGCCACTTTCATTGTAAATGAATGAGAAAGTATAATTTACAACAAAAACACACTCATCCATAGTTGTCTCCAATATATTTAAACACATCTCTGATGTTTTAAATATATTGAATCTGTACCAAAGCCAGGTTCAGCTGTGGTTGAGTCATGTGAAATGTCATCAGCATATGTTGTGTGTTTTTTCCATCTGTGATGGTTCAGTTGCTGAAGCTTAGTGGAGAACATTTGATATTCGTATTGGTTTGTTTGCCTTTTAAATGCAATCTTTTCATGCACATTTTTAAAATTTACACACAATGCAGCCCAAGGAAAGAGAACTGAAATAATTTTGCTGTTAACATTAGTTTTAATAAATAGAACTCTGACAACTGAACCACATGAAAAAACATTTTTCACCTGATGGATGTGGCAGTACAGTATGTTTTTGCATGTTCATGTTGCTTCATGTCTAGATATTTTGTGCATGAGTCTGACCAGTATCAAGGGAATGGTGATAGATTTATGATACATTGTCCACATGGCAGAGCTATTTCTCCAAATGAAGTTTGTCTTTGTTTGAGGTAAAAATAGAAGAATCGACATCGCATTTCACATATTGCATTTGAAAAATGCTGCTGCCATGTTAACAGTGCCTTTTACCAAACAATGCCAAAACTGATGAGGGTAAAGTTGCTTATTGGTATGACCTTCAGTCAGGCTACTGACATTTTTAAACAGAAATGTGAAATAGAATACAGCTACTATCTTATACTTTTGGAAATTTTAAACAGAAAATACAGCAGGTGACCCAAGATACCAAACGAGGGAGAGCAACTTTATCCTTCGATTTTTAGTAAGATGAAGCCACATGCACAACTAGGTCTCAAGTAGCCTCTGTGTTAACAGTGGGCATGACAAGGTCATGAGGGAGGAGAGATGAGGGTCGTGGATGCAGTTCATCTCAGCTCTAACATAGTTAATGATTTACTGGGGGTTTGACTGCTCTGGGGAAAGTGGGATGAGACACTACTACGCCAGCCTCCATGAGTTCGTATGTTATTTATGGCCAGACCAGACCAGAGTTTTTCATTCTGCCTTTGCTGAAACTTCCTACTATGCATATCTGAAACAAAGAATGAAAACATTATTTCAGATCTCTTCTCTTTGGGCCACTCCTCGTACCGTGAACACTAAGATTTCTACTGGTTTACGTAATAACAACAAACACTTGATTTGAACAAATGCATATAAAACAGAAAATAATGGTTTACTTAATATACATACAACAGAACTGCATATGGGGCTGTTTACTTAAAGTTAGAATATTCAAACAGTATTCAGTATAACAATGATTGTCTTTCAGTATGTTTTGCTTTAAGAATTCTTGGTCAAACTTACGGTCGATCTCATCAGCAAACACTTCTCCGTAGATCATCCAGTAAGGCATAAAGAAGATGTTCCTCGCCAGCATCCAGGATGGATCTTCATTTGGGTTGAGGATGGCTTGTCGTGCCACACCAAAGCTCATGAGCACCACCAGCATAATGATCACGAAGTACATCATATCAATCATCTGAGGGAATTGGGAGGGTAAGCAAGAAAACAAATCAAGAAATCAAACAACTTCAAGAGACAAAACAAGAGGTGTAAGTATACAATTTACAACCACTGCCAGGTAAACATTGTAAATGGGAATTGGTTCTGATAATGCACTCATTTGGTTGAAGTTTAAATAAATATTAATAAATAAAAAATATATTTTGAATAGAGCCTTGCAAGACAAACCTACTCACTTTTATTTAAACTTGCAGAAACAGGATCTGATCCCTAACTATATGTTTTAAATAGCAGGTAATTTTGAGGGTGTCCACCACATATAAAGTTGAAATGACTTACAAGTACTGCTGTTATCATTTCTTTATCTGAAGCTAAAAAGGCCATGTCGTGATGCTGTGGCCTCATGTAATCACTTAACTCACTGGATATTAATCAAAATTGCTGCCAGCACTAATTAACAGCTGATTTACATATCAAAGGAGACTGATTGGTGATACACAGACTATTTCAAAGACAGCCAAAAGACAGACTGAGTTCACTTTTTTGATCCATGATCCATGCCCTTCATGTTTTGCAGATATGACGCTCTTTAACATGGATTTAATATAGTAAAAAGAACCTTTTACGACAGTCAAGAAGGGCTGAATAAGGGAATAAATAAGATGAATAAATATTATGCAGTTTATAATGCTAATTTTTTTCTGACAAACCTTGCATTTGCAAATGGATTTGTGATTTATGTTTTCATAATAAGATTCTATAGAAAGTTCACAGATTTGACAACAACTGACAAGCTAATACAGCAATTACATTTCAGAATCTCTTTGTACCAATCTAAACTACAAGTTTAGCAGTAAGATAATTAAGACTGTGTTCAAATTTAAAAAAATGTTTTGATTGTGATTAATATTGCAGCCCTACAACTTAGCCTACTTAAACAATATTTTTAAATGTCAAAAGAAAAAAACACAATATTAATAAATGAAAAAAATATTAAAATAAGAGCTCTACATGCCTCATGCTTAAAAAAAAAAAGTTTTCTCACCATCTTTCCAATCATCATGACGTAAGGACCCAGGTACTTGTTTACCCCAAAGATGTCCAGCAGGCGGATGTACCAGTATATGATGTTCACACAGTAGATGACACGGCCGTAGCTCATGAGTGGGGGCTCCTGGAGTCTTAGGACCATCCCCACAGAGAATATGAGGATGGCCATAAGGTCTGTGATGTTCCAGTACTCCTGTAACCACACCTTCACTTTCTGTAACAACTTTCCAGGCTCAGACATCAGAATCTGTAATTGGATCGGAATGACAGAGACGGGCATATCAATCATAAATACACAGTAAAAGTAACAATATTTTCTAATCTACCATTAGAGGGCAGTGTGAGTTCACCTAAAATGGTTTCTAGAGGATTTACAGACAGCATTGTTGCAGCTGAAAATGTCCCTGACACTATGATTAATGGCTTTGATACACATACATTACAAAAATACCCTGTTTATACTTTTGGAATGGATTTTTGTAATTCTATTTTTTCAGTCCTACAGCCAAATCTAATATCTTTGGCTTCCTTATATCGTATCAATGTACCCAATTTATTCAGCTGTTTCTTAACATATACATTATGGACTATCCCTAATTTACACACGGCACAGCCTAGTTGTGGAGTATTGATTGTTGTATGTATGCCTTGCACTTGGTTTTACTGTACCTCTCTCATTTTCTCGATACCATTGGTGAAGATGTAAGCAATGACAATCCACTCTTGAGGTGATGGCCATAGATCCATTTTGACTAGGACAATATAGTTGAACAGCATCAGGTAGCCAACATACGCCAACTGAAGTGGACAAAGAGGAAAGTATGTCTTGTCAAATAAGCTTAGCTTACGTAGTGTAGAGTAGCAGTTTACTGTGCCACCACACTGAATTATACAATTTCTCCAAAAGACAATTACCGGTACATGTGATCAATTCTATAATGGGCAAATATCTTTAATTTGCTCCCAGGATGCTGCAAAAACCTGTTTATCCATGTAAAAAAACCTGCATTTGATCATTGGATATATCATATTTTCATGATGCCCCTTTTTACATAAACCGTAACATCTGGATGGAGCACAGTCCCTAGTTATGACCTTGTCTAGAGATGTGTTTCTGCCATATATAATTAGGCACATTATTTATATTAGCGTATAATATAATAATTTTGCCTGCCCTATATGCATTTTTTTACAATAGGATTTTACAAGCAGGATTTTATTTTTAACAAATAAAACAGCTATCTAATTTGAACAAGTATTAACATCCGAAGCCTAGCTTCATCTAAATGTACATGACAGCAGTCTTCTGCACATTTCACCTCAGTGCAAATCTAATTAATTAAAACCATTATGAAATTAAATAAGGGAGCAAGTAAGGCTGAATGATCTATGCATCAGATTAATGTCCAGGTGTATCAAGCATGATACTAGGGTGAGTAAACCTGTGGCATTTTACATGCTGTGAATGTTTGTGTTGTCTATTATTTTTTTATTTATTTATGATTATGCATAACCATAAAGGTTTAGTATATTTCAAATGAGTCTTATGAGAAGATATGATAAGAAATTATATGCACAGTACAAAAGGAGCATGGTGCCACACACATATCTAATACTACATCAACACTGCCACTGATCTATATCAGCGTGCAGCAAATAAATGCTAATCTGCTAATGAGGTAAATCACACGTTTTGACCCTGAGAAAATCCCCAGTGTATTCAGGGAGCTCCATAATGAAATTCACAGCTGAATATTTCTCTTTAACCTCCAGGGCTCAAAGAAAAAGGAGCAGGACGGGAGGAGTAAATAGCCAGGAAAGTGGTGAAACAAACGCAGAGAAAATATTTTCTCAGTATAAACAAACTGAAAAATCCCTGCTGGTGATCAAACATGATGTTTCTCTAAGCAAGCAAAATGAGGCTGCCCAATACAAGGCAGGGGAACAAAAGATCATTTTATATAAAATATTACACAGGTTTAGAGTGCACACACATAAGATATGGATATAGTGTTGTACCAACAGATGTACAGGGCCATGTGATCTCCTCAATGTAAAAACTCCAGACAGGACAGGAGAGGATTTGCACAGGGCTTCAGGTGATACTCTCATCAACCTGCCCAGGGACTGTAACAACTTTATTGCTGCTAAAACCTGGCACATGATACATTTTCTTTTTAAAAGGTTGTTTTTTGTGCATTTTCCCTGATCAGATACACAAATTCAATCACATGATTCAACAATGTTCCAGGAAATAGGAGATAACTCTTTGTGACAGTAAGATGAGATATGCTACTGAGCAAAGTAGTATGTACTAATGGTAAATGCTAATAATCCAGCTATAACTATCGCTTATGTAATTCCTGTTTTCACTGTATATTAATGACTGGGTTCACAAAGATACCAGATTAGTTGAATACATATTACCTTTGTTATAATCAATCCAAATTTATTTCAGACTCCAGGGGGTCCATATAGAACATTTCAAGTGATCATTTTCAGATGTAATTCAATCTGTGCTTGTAAACAGAATACAGGAGTTTATGATTCAGATGGCACTGACCGTATGAAACCAGAACTTGACTATGGGAGCGTTGTAAAACTCGTAGATTTTTCGTCCCATAGGGATGAGGCGATGACGGCTCTGCACCTCCTCTACGTCCTTCTTCCTGGCCGTTTCTGTGGACACTTTACCCAACATGGCCTGGGGCAGAGAGGGCACCCCACAGGAACAAAGTAGTAGCCAATGATAAGATGTGGAGAGACGTGAATAGGCCACATCCACAGTGCAGCAGTGGGTGATTTACAGAGGAATAAATGCAGAGAGGGACAGCAGGGAACAGGAGAAGTGAAAAGTGGTGATTATAAAATTGCAGGGTACAGCGTGGTTCTATAGCCATAATAAGAAGCAAGCACAGGCATCATTCCAAAATGTCAAAATGTGTGTGTGAGGTGAAGATTGTAACACTGATGACGTGGACGCAGACACTCATGGATTGTGTCTCAGACAACAGTTAAGAGGCAGAATAGACAGACTGACAGAAGGAGGGGAGGGAGAGAGAGAGACACAGATATTTGGGTTCTATCTGGGACACGTGTTTATCCATGAGAGAGGGTTTGGAAAAGCCCATTGTATGATCATGGTTTTATGTCAAAGCCACCATACTTTAGAGGGAGATCCTTTCTATTCTATTGTCTTTCCTAAAATATAAGAAATGTGGCTGTAGTATATACAATAATGCATAACATGCCATTCATTTTTAAGTTGTGTAATCGTAAAGTCACTACGGAGACATCTGAGTTTGGGCTTTGTTGTATTAGTAAATTGTACAGCCTATAACAAATATTTGACTGGGATTAAGAAACATGGACAGGACTGTGCAAACAATGCACTTCACATGCATTATCCAGTGGACAAACTGCAGTAATTATAGTACTTTTATCCAAATCATGAGCATAAAGGCAGGTCAGCCTCCCTCTGTGGTGTAGCAGACTGTGTGTCTTATATGGTTTTGGTGAGTCTTATATCTGCGGGTGCATTTTTACAGCTGCAAGCCAGTAAATGATAGGCTCATTTCAAATGTGTCCTCAGGCTGCAACCAACAGTGTACCTTAAGGACTACATGTGTAAAATGGCCCATTTTGTGAGTATTTCCACTGGCTTGTTGGCTGTACTCAATGCGGATGAAAAGTATGTACACTGGTGCTGAAGGGCATTCAATCTCAATTCAATCAATAAAAGGGACAACCTTGGATCTTGTTTGTTTGTAGAAATTGCATTTAAACTGTCACCCAGTTATAGGACACTTTCTGGATCCAGGTGTCTTCTCCAAAATTGATTGGACTGAAATGGAACGTGTCCTAATCCTGCTGTACTTGTATGCAGATGGACTAGTACCAACTCACAGGGTGAGCTGGAGGAGGGTGCTCTGACTCTGCATGATTTAAGCTCTGCAGCAGGCGGACATGGTTATATAATGCACAAGCCTAAGCGTCCCATGCTCATGGCCTTCATGCTGAGTGGTACGCTGCAGCAAGCCATCACTGATGGGAGAGTGTATAGGGCAGCAATCGGCTGGGCATTCAGTACTGTACCTCAGTAGAGAGTTCAGAGAGAAGGGGGAGAGAGGGGGAAAAGAGACTTCGAGGGAAGTCTGAGGGGTAGTTTGAAACCAAAAGAAATAGAGGAGGAACAGGCAGGAATTGGGTACAGAATAAAAGGAACAAAAGCCAAAGAGGAAAGAGAGACGAACAAGGGGAAACCCACAGGCGGCGACAGACTACGAGACGCTACAACTCCACACCAATGTTTCTGCTATGATGACAGAGAACAGGAAAGGCCTAATGTCTGGAGCTGTCCAGATGGCCGAAGTGAATGTGTATGGGTGTCTCTGTGTATTAACTATGTCAATGTGTGTGTTCTATTGTCTCACTGTGGACACAAACAACATAAAACATTTGGCCCACAAAGTGTTAGTCAAATCAGCAAATGTGTTTAAAGTGACTTCTGCGAAAGGAGGGTGGGTTCTCTCACCACGGAGTTGTACTGCGTCTCACAGTAAGATCTTACTGTGAACTCCATGTCCTCCTCCTCCTTCTCCTTTACAGGCTTCTCAGGCTCCTCCTCTTCCTTCTCCTGCAGATAAGCTTCCTGTTCCTGAGGCATGTACGACATCTCATCCTTGTTCTTGAACTCCAGGCTCAGGATGGATGGTGGCAGAAGCAACCCCAGTATCACCTTGTTTAAATACAGTAGAAAGTGTTGGTAGTGCCAACACATAAAGTACTGAGAAATTATAACAAATCATAATTATTCAATACACCAAAGAGTAATATTAACCCAGTGACTTAATCAGTAATATACCCTATCAACATATCTTCAACACTACATTTATAGTTCTTTTCATACAATGGTATCTAGGTATCAAAAGTGGCCAAAAAAAGGAACAGGAGAGTTGGACAGGTCAGACTGGAGGTGACTGAAATCTGTAATATGTGGGCCAATAGAAAGGTGTCAACTTCTGCACCTCTTTTATCAGATATTTGTCATAATATAATTCCTAATTGGTCACCTGCTAAACTGACATAATAATTTTATAATGATGGTCATTACTGTTTGGCTTGTGCAGACAGATTAACTCTAATTGTGGTCCTTGTGCCAACTCAGAAAGATAATTTCAGGAAAAGTCCATTACAAAAGCATTAGTGTGAATGGGGAGTAAGTGTAGAGAGCTGCCACAAAGGATGAGAGTGGCACACAGCTGCAGTAGATAAAGGGGACAAGTGTGTAGTAAACACTTCAAATACATAATAGTTAAACAGACCCAAACGTTTCCTCAATGAACCACAAAAAACACAAGGAAGGAGAGCTGTGTCACCTTATCACAACAAGCAGCTGTTCTCTCTTTCTGACAACTAGGTTATAGAGGACACCATTTTTACTTTATATTCAATTATGATTAAATGACCCATGAAAAAGATGTGACTTTATGAAGTATTAAGAATTAATACTCACACAAGAAATACAGCCAATATCATGATGTATAGAATAACAAACTGTCCAAAGGCAAGTTAAGTGACATTTACTAAGATTAAAAAAACAAAGTCAACTTAAACAAAATGCGTAGTGTAGAGTAACTGTTCCTGTGGGATGGACTGTGGCGGTGCTAGTTGGCAGTTGTAGTAACTTTAGTGAAAACATATTATTCTGGCAATGTTATTTGGTGTATATCATCATCCCGGGGGGAACAGAATCTTGTTTGTTACATTTTTGGTTTCTGCTCCAGAGAACTCCAGTTGACTTTGCAACATATGCCCTCTCATTCTCAACCTGCCGAGGCCATACCTTCCCTAAAGCCCATCCATCCTCAGAGGTTGGTGTGTGTGTGTGTGCGCGCGTGTGTGTGTGTGTGTGTGCGTGTGTGTGGGTGTGTGTGTGTGTGAAAGAGAGGGCTTTAAGACATCCTCCAGGTAACTCTTGTCAATGTGTTTGTTTATACATTTTCTTCAATACTCTCATCTTTAATAAATACAATAAGCAATATACAAGACACTATAAAACACTAAGATTTTACTTTGCAACTAACCATTCAGACTAAGAGCTGGCACAAAGAATACTCTCTCTTAGTTTTGATCATAACATTGAAGTTTGACATTTCAGCAGTAGAAATGCACAGAGATATATCTGAGATAATGCTTCTTAAGAGCAGCACATCGATCATACAGCCAGACTCCCCCTGTGTATTGAGTGTAACAATGTCTACTGACTAAAGGTTAACCACAGTCTCTCCCACTCTACCATCTCTGTGTATAAATGTCCAGGTACCACCAATCTATCCTAGTATTTACTCAGCAAATGTCCAGGAGTGCTTTCTGTCCTTAGAGAAAGGTTAGATGTTTCTTATTTCATTTTACACTCTACTATCCAAGGACATCTTAAGGCACAAAGTCTTTTAGAAACCATTAATTTCAGAAGCCATAAGTGCTACAAACTACTCTGTTGAAAAATGTGCTTTAAGTGTTTACTTAACAGCTCAGAGCCACTAAAAACACCTGATGAGCGCCCTTTACCTTCAGGCCTGAGTTCTTGCGCATACGGAGGCGTCCCATCCACATGTCCGTCAGCAACATCTGACTGCAGGTGTGAGCGATGAAGTCCCGGTGTTTGGCAGCCACCGCCAGCTGCAGACAGGTGGCATTGCTCCAGTTCTTCAGCTCGTAAGTCAGCAGCTTCATGGCCATCTGCTCGTCCTGTTTATAGGACTGGTCAAGAAGCTCCACTGCCAGCTGGCCGAACTCTCTGTCAAAGGCAATACAGAACATATGCAGGGACACACACAACACCACAATGTGTCATTATAAATACGTACTATATAGGGTATCCCCAGGTTTGACTATCCCAAATTTAAGACTTTTAAAGACATTTTAAAGACCTTTTAAAGACCACTTTAATGAAAATGAAGACCAACATCGCACCCATTATGCAGGCAAAAAACACTAGATCCAATTGTAATAATGACCAACCAACTACCGGTACTATCTAAAATATGAGAGCCACTGTGGAGTAAACGTACACTTCCCCATGATCCATCCAACGTCTTCCTCCACTGTACTGATTATTTACTCATTGCCACCAGTGCCAGAAACTGAAGTATTGTTTGTGCATACTGTACAAATTAGATGTTCATTCACGTGATGTGATCTCACGTTGTTATTTTTTTTTCCCTCCCTCCATTTAACACTGCACTGCAGCCCGGTTGAGTATACAAAAAAATAGGCTAATGAAATTGAAGGCTTTGTGAAAAAAAATAAGACTTGGACAACATAATTTAAGACTTTTTAAAGCCTTAATTTAGGAACATGAAATTTAAGACCTTTTAAGACCTCATGGCTACCCTGCTATATCAACATTATGATAATTAACCATACTACACTTGTTAAGGCATTACTGACCATCTGGTGAGGTTCTTAAGGAGATTAAGAAAGTATATACACACACTCAAAATCATGATACTACTGTAATCTAATCTCTGCACATAAAAAATAAAATAAACTATTAAAAACTCTGAAAAGTACAATTAACTACTTCCACTGATTTAAATTACCAGGTCTGCAAATGAGAAGGTGCTCTCAACTGACTTACCTGGTATTTATTTACTGACAATAAATAAATAAATACCGCAAATAACCCACTGATACATGTGCTAAAGCTACTCTGTTGAAAATGTGTTTCCAAGTCACAAGCTATTTATACAGTGTTGGTTGTATGTGAATAATAAACTCCTTATTAACATTTCAGTCACCAGCCCTCTCATCTCTAGGTGACAGCATTATTTTTACAGATGTAGCTGAATGTACTTCCCAGGATACAACATAGCCACAGTATTCACCTCACAGTACAATATTTATTGTGAACTGACTGACAGAAATTGTAGAAATGCTACTTTTCCTATTTAAAATACTTTGATAAGCCTTTGGTGATTTCATTACTGTCATAGTGTGACAGTTTAATTAAAGAAAGTTCTTTATATTGACTGCAAAGGATCATGGTCATTGTAGTTACCTGTGGTTTTTGCTCCTGCAATAAAACTATGCATTTAAGCAAAGAAACTTGTGATTCAAAATATTGTGACAGCCCAAGATATTACTGGGGAACGTTTGACATTATAAAAGCACTTCTGTGGTAAGTTTGAGGAGAAAATTATGCACCATATGATGCTCCATTAAAATTGCACATTGCCAGCAGCACTTCACCTACAATACTCCATGAAAATTTCCTTGGCGACAAGTAGGTGGAGTCAACTTTGAGTCAAATATTCATAATGAAAATGAATGCTTTTATTTTGACTTGTGAGTTTAGGATTAAAAGTTACAGGGTGAAGCATTAAATTTCACTGAACAAAATCAGACAGATGTCCCACCTGGAGTTGTGGTTCAGTTCTTGGGAGATGTCATCCACCATGTCATTCTCAGATGCCTCGTGTGCCATGGCTTTGCACAGCTTACACGCCACTAAAGCCTTGGCCATTGCCTCTTCACCATGCTGCCAGAAGAACAGCGCCATCTTCTGTCTCTTCATGAGCACTGCCCACACCATGAGCTCATGAAAAGGGAAAGGGAAGTGGTTGATTTCAGGATCATCCAAATCAATGTCCACTTCTTCCTCGCGCTTTCGTGTTGTTTTCTGGCGGCCTCTCCGAATGGGCATGTCATCCTGATAGGCACAAAGTGTATATGATTGAAAATCTATACACCTACTGTATACAGGGGGTGATGGGGGGATGGGATAAAATCATAATAACAGTGCACCGGTCTTATACATTTCTTTTCCAGATGCTCAAAGTTATTCACTCCATACTACATGCTGGTAGGCTATATTTCAAAGATTTCAAAATGTTTTGTCATTGTCATAGAAAATTACCTACAAAGCATCAAACACTGCATAGTTCTAATGTAAAGTGTAATACCAAAGCAAGCCCCATCCCATCACACCCCATACGTTAGCTACAATTGTAGGTTCAGCTGCCCTGAGGTAAACTAACAGAAGTAAAGGTGACAATCTGCACCACTTGCCCCTCTGATCACCACCAATCAATTACACACCATACTCATCCTAAGCAAGGTAGGTAAGTGTCTTGCCCATGGACTCAGCAAAGCACTGAGCTGGACTGGAGTACACTGGAGCCACTGCCATCCCAATACTAACCAAGCTCATCCCTGAGTATTGAAGGCAGTAGGATATAACAGCCCCTGAATCCTTTCTAGTGCAATTTACAACATATATTTGCATAGCTGAAATTAGAAAATGAAAGAGGACAAATATAAACAATTTAACAATAACTAATTTTGATCTATATTAGCTGTAATCATCACAATAAATAGCCTATATATACCAATAATACTTGATTATGTATTTATGTTTCATTAACACAGTAAATAAAATTTCACTGTGAACATCTGATCATGAATGTTGACATAAATAGTAAATTTGTTATTTAAAAAAACATTGTCATTGTGTATATTTAGCAACAGTAACACAACAATTCATACAGTATATGGCACCAAGAAAAAAGGCAGTACAGACTTGCTCACAAAGGAACTGATATCGTTGCATGTTTGACATAAATACCTCAGTGGACTGCGGAGCCACACAGTGATAAAAGCTTTATGATGTGGATGCTTCAAGGAGAGTACACAAAGCATCTATTATGTAGTCTCTTTAGGTCAGTCATTACCTATTCACTCAACTAGAACTGAGCTACTCTGGCATGTAGCCTAGCATCACTGTCTGAAGTCATTAGACATTCATGAAGATACATGTTTTCCATCTGAAATAAATCTGTAGCAAATACCAGTTAGGGCCACAGAGGGAATGATGGTGCTGAATATATAAATGACAATAGCAAGAGTTTGAAAACACAAGAAATGTTAATACATATGTAATTTTAAGGAATTAATAACTGAAGGATGATTCTTAACCACAGGTGTTTTTATTTCTACATTTTAAGTGCACTGTTTAGTTCTGCCGTCAAGGCTCTCAAAGCACTTATAGTTACTCAGTGTTAGCACGACATAGAAAAATTACTTACCTCCATTCCTAGCAGCTTTAGGGCTTTGGGCTGAAAAGACAAAAGAATACAGACAATTTATAGAGTAATGTAAAATGAATACTGGGATGTTGAAAATCACATGGGAATATACATTTAAGAGCTGTGTTTTTAACTAAAACCTCCAACACATTTTGTGTGTGTACCTTATTGATGCATGTTTGTATGTGCGTAAGTATTAAGGAAAAGAACATTTGTGCAACTGGTACTGTACTGTGTATCTATATTAAAGCAGGCCATGTATGAATTATGCATTCATGAGCCATCATCTGAGCTGGTAAAAATAGCCCAGGCCTCCTGTGGGGATTTGGATTTCTGCATCTATTTCAAGGCTTTGTTCTTAGTTAACATGTGTCTGTGTGAAAGAAAGCATACTAGCACACAGTTGAAATGGCATATTCATATAGACATTTGAGCTGACTTTCACTCCCAGATTCTTCAGGTCTCTGCATATGATCTGTTGCTTCCATGAGTTGGCTTTATCAAGGTATTTTCAGCTGACAATTCTGAAGCAGGCATGCATTTACAGTGAGATGAAAAGGTATGCAAACATACAATTTGTATTGAGGATATACATGAGGCTATACAGTGTAATAATCCCCAAAATGTCAGCTAGAGATTATCTGCTCATTATTATCCTTCCACTTACTCTCTTGGGGCCAAACAGGTTGTGATATAGAGTCCGGAACCTCTTCCTAGTGTAATTACAACGATAAGCCCCGCCCATCAGATATTCAATGACCAATCCAATGTCGATGAGGCTGATGCGGTAGTCTGGAGGCAGGTTTCCCTATAAAAAAAAGAAAGCAATAATAACGAATGAGTTATTGACAGCAGTCTTTGCCAAGAGATTAGAATGAGGATAGTCAAAGAGGAAAGAACAGCGATACACACGTCACAAATCCATATCTAACTGTTCTTGGCTATGAAAGAAAACATGATTATCGCATTCACCTTGAAGTAGATCCAACTGAACCCTGGATATTCCCGCTTGAAAAAAACACACAATGTCAGTGAGAACACGATACAGTATAATGAAGATAGTAGGAGAGATGGACCACACCAATTTTGGACCAAGATCACTCTTTTCCAGACTCAAATTTGTTCAAAGCTTTCAAATGCACAAAATACTGAACAATGTGCAAAAAGTCTCAAAACCATCAGAAGTTTGTGTTTGAGCTGAAAAAAAGAAGTTACATTTTTTATTGAAAATTAAAACATATAGTAAGTAGCCTGGAAGAGAGGACCACCAGTATGGAGAACTCGACAGCCAGTGACCACTGCTGGAGGGGAGTATCATTAAACCAGTCTTTTCATGTGTGGTGGCTATATTGTATACTATAAAACGTATCCCTGCAGGAATCATGTTATTATCACTGTAAGCTCGATACATCCTTCATTTACCTCATGCAAAATATATCCACTTTTAGCAGGTTATGTTTTATGTGAAAGAAAGCAGGGACTTTACATTACTTAATTATTTAAAGCACGCTTATTTATGCATAACACATTCCAGGTGGAGCAATTCTACTAACTGTACACAGATACAATACCTCAAACATGATGAGGTACTGTTGAGGTTTTGTGTGACTAACTAACACAAAACCTAAACATTTTTAATTGCCCTGAATGCAAAGTTCAAAGACGAGGCTTCATGGTCAGCATAGTCCTTTTAAACTCCCTTTGGTGGTAAAAATTTGCTAATAAATGAGCACAACTTTGAGGGGAAAAACTTTTAATTTTAAAACAAACTTTTAGCAGACTCATTATTTTAGAAATAAACAAGACCATCTTTAGTGACTGTACAATTATAATATGCTGCTGTGTAGAGTGCAGAGTCTGGTGCACCAGGTAAAAAAAAAAAAAGGCAGCTGCAACCAATTTTGGACAACAAAGCTGCAACTTACTTTTTCAGAAAGAAAAGCAATTTCTGTTTTAGCAGCAGTTACAATCCAGTCTGTCCTTCCTGACTCAGCGTTTGTACTGAACAGGATCTGATTAGACTTGAATGTTACTCTCACAACCCCCCACAGTGAACATCTTTGTGAGTTTAGACCACACCAACTACAACTCAAAGATCTAAGAGGAAATGTACGACGGCATGGACATGGATGACACACTAAAGATCCAGGCAGAATGTCTAATTAGCAATCTACACAACACAATCAGCTATAGACTTACTATAGCAAGTACACAAAGCTCTGAGGATGGTGCTGCTAGGCCATGCACTACAAAGTATTTTAGTGTGTCAGTATTAATTTATTATAACTTAAAAAATAATATTATTATTACTTTTTTGAACTCAGTGAAAAAACAGTGTAACAAAAACAACGTAGTTGCGTAGTTGTGTGTGTGCATGTTTGTATGTTAGTATCACTCTATTCATGGGGACCTGCCTCTATTATGGAGACAAAAATCAGGTCCCTACAACGTACATCCTTCACGATTAGATCAACTAGCTATAGGTTAAAAAGGTTACAGTTAGGATTTAGGGGTTAAGGTTAGGGCAAGGTTTAACTATGGTTAAGGTTGGGGTGGGTCTCCAAGAAATGAATCTAAACCAATGAAATGTCCCTGCAAAGGATGAAACCCCAATGTAAGTGTGTGTATGTGAAAGAGAGAGGGGGTAATTTGCAGAAGAGAGCTACAAATGAGGATCGTGCACAGCTTTACACAACCACTGCAGCCTGCAACTCCAGCTGAAAAGGAAAAGCCAGCCTCTAGTGCTACCACCAACACAATAAAATCATTAGCAACAAAGCAACATAAACTCTACTGGGTTATGTCACTATACCACACACTGAAGTTACCATTCCCAGCCCAACAACACTAATGCACATACCTTTTTGACATCCCTGACGAGGTGGTACAGCGTGTTGGATGGCCCGTGTCTCTGGTAGCATTAAAAAAAACATAAATGGTTAGCCGTTAGCATATATCACCACCACAAGATCTGTACATGTATTTGAGTACGATTTATTTCATTTTCTATATTTCACGCTCCAGGGCTACCCACTTAGGTTGTGTGAAATTTTCATCATTTTTTCACCTTCAACAAAAACTCCCTTAGGGCCATGGGTGGTGAGAAGCCATTCCCCATTCATCCCACAATGGGGGGCAGTAACAGAAATGTGACAGAGATCTCCTCATGCTAGAGCAAACTAGATTGCATTGTCAGTTGTATACTACTATTGTATACTTTATTGGGATTTCATACAGTATATTTCCTGTTTAGTTTAAAGGTGCATTGTGTAACTTTTCTGGTGGTGGGTCGTTGAAATGCTTTTCTTCATGAAGATGTTATAACTTTGTCTGGAATGTTTCGTAGTATGGTATTAAACCTTTATATATCTTTCTGGAGACCAAACCAAGTTACAGGTCAGACCTGTGGAGAGGCAATCCCGCTGTGAGAATACTTGTTTTTTTTTAGGTATTTTTGAGCCGCTTGTAATTTAATAAATTTAAGATAAAACTGTTTAATGTGGAACATTCCAGGCAGAGTAGTGGCATCCCCATAGAAACAAGCAGGTGACGGACCCCTAACCAAACATTTACATGGTACAACAAGGGAATAATTTGTGATTATATATTACCGTGTTGTAAAGCTCTTCCAGTCTGGAAAGGGTTAGGAAACGATGCATACTGACTCCATTTTCAATTAAAAGTTTGACAAAGTCCACTCTGTCAAGAACTAAGGCATCCAGCATCGCCTGCTCCAGAGATCCAACCTGAATGAATATAATAAAAAAATACTGTATTACTGTAAAGGAATCATAAGTAAAGTACAGTGAACACACAGACTGAACTAGTCTCTGCAGAGGTTTCAATAATTCATTTAGAAGAGAGAAAGGCTGTAGGAACAGGATCTTTTGTCAGAAACCAATGCATTATGACTGTCTTTATTTGTTAATATTGTAACACTTCTACTTTCATTACAAGTTTACAAGATTACAAGATAATGCATAAAAAAATAAATAAATAAATTTAAAAAAAGACCGTAAGATAAGATAAATAATACACTGTAACCTTATAATTCAAATAAAAGGCTTAAAATAATGCATTGATATTTGATATGAATTTGGATTCAAGTGTTGCAAATGTATTTCTTACAGGCCACTGCTGTCCATAGATGAAGATTTGACTACGAGCGATGTCCACCCGGTTCCAAGCCAAGGCTAAACTCAACTGGTCAGGTGCAGAGGCATTGGCACCTAGAAAAGATGAAGCCATTAACTGTCATTTCCAAAAAAGATCATGCTTGTTTAATAATCAACTGAAAAATATGCTCTGCTGGCAACAAGAACAAATCAGACACCCACTAGGAGGAGTGCAAAAAGTATGTAGGAGGGGAAGAGGCTTGTCACTGCCTTTGGAGGAATCTGGGCTAATGCAAAGTATAATAATCCTTAGTAGTAGACATTTTAATAAGCTTCCTAGTATCATTACTCTCTTAGGCCCTTGGCATTACAGGAGTTTAAAGGTGTGAGTTCAGACAGCTATGTTAATGAGATCAAGAACTAACTAATAAGAGTAGCACACACAGCACTATATTAAAATATGGTGGATTTGCCTTATCTTAGGACTTGAAGCTGACTGTGTGGTTGTCTTTAAGGACTGAGGGGCAGGGACCTTATGCAATAGTCTTCTTCATCACTACTTTTTACAGGCCAGTAATTAGCTTAAATGACCTGTTACTCCATGTGTTGGTCAGTGTTGCCAAGTTTGCTTCTTTATAATGACAATGGGATTCCTTATTTGGAAAGTTCATTGCAATGGTCATGTTTTAAGTACTGTGTTATGATACCAGACCCAATAATGATTGAAATACAAGCTGTTGACAGTTAATTCATGTTTTAGGCCGTTACTGATGTTAAATATGCTACTGAAAATATGTGCATCATATTAGTACTCATTTAACTGCTATACACAACAGTTAACTAGTTTTTGAACTTATTTTTGTGGGGTTGGGGTCATTTGTTTGTTTGTTTGTTTGTTTGTTTGTTTTTTTAAGGCTTAGTCTCTTCTGCTCTCAGAAAATCTGGCAACCCTGGTGTTGGTAGTTTGTATCCTTCCTGCCCTTACACAGCCTTCTTTTCAAGCCCTCCTCTACTCTGTGTATTTTGACTTTACTGTGCAATGATGAGCTCCAGGCAGTGGCTTAGTTCTTCAGCAAAGAAGTCTAATCCAGTGTTTTAAAAGGCTCTCAGGCAGGATGTGACTGACTTTATTTTACACTAAAAGCCCTAACATGCCTCAATGAGCCAGTCACAGAAGGCTTCATGCTGCTTACCATAGAGTCACATTTAAAAGAAAACTCCTCATCCCCTTTATTTGGCGCAAGAGCATTCAGCTTCTTCTTCCTCCTCTCATTTATCTAAATGTCATGTCATGCAAAAATCAAAAAGGGCAACTAAAACAGAGTGTGAAAAATACCTTGTAAGTCACATGACCAATGAGTTAGAAATAATGGTGTACAGACGAAGGTACAGAATTTTTTTTTAGAATAAAAGACAATGTTGTACAATAGGGCAATGAAATCATGCAGGCAAACTGCTACACATACATAATGCAAGAAACAAGCAGGCACTAGCTTTCCCACTTCTTATCAAAAATATTCGACAGCAGAACTACAGCTCCCCTAAACAAGTGACAGATGTGTGCAGTTTGGAGAAAAATAATAAGCACCTCTCTCATGAGATAATTTGATACTGTACGTCAAGCTTATACAGTGTAAAACAGCTGACAATCAACCACACTTTGTCTGAAGATAATTTGAATTCTTTATATGTAAATGTAAAATGAGTCAAAGTAATTCAAATCTCTTTTATATATATACTTGTATGTTCGTGAAAAATGCATACGGTCTAGTCTGGCTTTTCATCCACATGCATAGGTATGTGTGCTTGAGGGCATGTTTGAAAACTCCAGAGGGCCTGCTTAACGCCGGATTCCCCAAAGAGTCAAATGCAATCTTAATCAATATGAGCTACTGAATAACCAATCAAAGGTATGGATCTGTGGTTCATGTGTGCGTGGGCGCAGGAGGGGAAGAAAGGACCGGATAAGAAAGAACAGTGAAGCGGAAAATAGGATAAAGAACAATCAGCGGTTGAGTTTAATTACGATGTCTGCACTTTTAAACCCATCTACTGTCGTTCAATATTGGGAACTACATAGTAATTTGTTATATAATAAGGTTAATGGTGTTTTGCTTTAGAGTTACTCTTTAGGGTTAAGTTTCAAAATTGTATCTAAACTATCAACAGTATGACTTATAACAATAATAATCTTTCTGCAGTCTTTTTGACTTGTATTGTTGTAAAACCTGATCACAGAATATTTTTGAAAATGGTTTGGCAGATCATAAAAAGCTAAATAAAAGTTGCTGTGAACAAAATAGTTTTGTATCACCTCTAGTCAATAATCAGTCTGGGAAAAGAGATTTAATGAGCAGCTGTGTTCCTGATGCTAACTGATTCTGCTCCAGGTGCTGGTGCGAGCATGATGCATACAAAATCGCTCACCTGAATCCAACTTGTCAAAAAGAACAATACAAATCTAAAATTAATTATCAAATGTTTCAATTCATCATTGTTTCCAACTGATTGGCATTTGCAACTGCAGCTGTTATGAAGTACAGACTGAGCTGTAAACAAACCAAGTCTTTAAAAATAGTTTATACAGTTTTTTTTATTCTTCTGGTAAGATAAGACTGTACCATTTAGTACTAAAATACAGTCCTGAATATTTTGTTCTCTGTATCATCATCACATGTGAAACCTGACTGTTTTAGGGTTGGCTTAGATCTTTATGATGGCTCTAGATGCTTTCCTTGATGTTATTTGTAAAGTGGTAGCGTTGAACCAAAAATACATAAGCACATGTCTATGTTTAAACCTCCTTTGTGTTGAAAGTGGGCCAGTAAAAGCTTCATATCTACAGAAGCGTCTAAATAACAACATCCCTGGAGATATAGTAGTATCATAAGGGAGCCAGTTACACTACAACTATGGCAGTACTCAAGCAGACACACAAACACATACTCACCTTTGAGTAATGCAGTAAGGATGGCCAGGTCAATGTCCTGATGACCCTCTGACCCCATTCGGAAAACTGTTATCTGGCACATTATAAGAAAATCAAAAAGACAGATTGAAACAAATTGAAAAATACATTGTTTATACTGCTGCCAGTCTCAATATGTTTAATTTTAAATATTTGAATTACATTTTGACATATTTTTCTGGCCTAAATATGCATTTACACAAATATTAGTTCAATGTCCAAAAAGTACAGAAAAGTAAAAAATTTATTCAAACTATTTAATCAAACCAATCATGCAAATATTGGCAGCTGCCAATGACAAACACATCCAATTAAAACACTATTACAAGTTGGAAAAAATAACATTTTGTTGAAATTTTACTAAACTTTGTCTAATTCCAAAGCCAGAAGATGTATGGTGTATTGTGAGCACACTGACATTTGGGATGTCATTTGTGTTCTGTGTAATGGCCCTGGGATCAAAGCGCTAGCAGAGCAGAGGAGGAACTATGAGTGATGGCACAGATTTGGTGGATCATATTTCTGAGGTAAAGAAGCTGTTGTGCCATTGTAGAAGTAACATGTACATGTGCACATGCTTATATGGTCATGCATGTGCGAAGGGCACCTTGTGAGAGCCATGCACGCGTGCGTGTTCTGAATGCCCAACAAGCTCTTCTCTAATCTTTCCATCCACACATCCATCTCCTCCCACCTTCCTCTCCTCCCTGCAGCCCATCTTTCCCTCTAAATGGCTTCATTTCGTGGAGCTCCAGGAATCTGTGGGATTTGCTGCAGCTGCAGCTCCCTCAGGGAATGTTGCAACATTGTGGAATAACCCCTCCCCTTCCACGCTCTCCTTACATCAGAATGTAAAAGTGCCATAGTAGACCCCTATGATTCAGTCTCTATTATGGTGCTCATTCATCTGATTTAAAGCATATGTCGAAGACACATAGGCTCCACCCCCAGAGAGTAACGAGACCAAGACATCATCTCACACCTTCGTCCTGTGTCATGCATTCCAAAATCAATCACGAATAGCAGAAGCATCGGGTGTGTGAAGTTGCATTTGTGTGTAGCCATGTGTGTAATCAGGAGGTTTTTCCCCAGGTGAAATGGAGGTGTGATGGGATATGAAAATATCGATTGAGGTTTCTTATGAGCACACAGACCAATAAGTGTGCGGCACAGTGAGTAATTTCTTGCGCATTTTGGACTTTAGTCATACTGTGCCAGTAGCGATATTATTCTTTGGTCGAATGCCTCGACTTTTATTCTAATTGATGCTAACAACGCGTTTAGGGAGCCATCTGTTTAGCACACATGCAATGCTATGATCTAACCAAGTCCATGTGCATTCAAGCAGGTGTTAATGACTGCTCTGCTTTTGAGTTTAAACCAAATTCAAGATTCAGCATTGTTTTACTAAACAAAATGTCCAAAAATACTAGATGCCACATTTATGATGATGGTAGAGCCGACAGCATCATACACATTGTAAGTATCCATCATTGGATACAAAAAGTTTTTATCAAACACAAATGTGGTCAAAGTTTGACAATCAACTTTCATTTCTGAGGTTAAGTGCAAGTTTAAAGAACAGCAGAGCACATTCCTACACATACAGGTCTCAAAAACGTGAACAATATAGGAAAAGGTCAAAAAGTTCTGCACTGTATCTCAATCCTTTTTAACTATTATGTACATCAAGTGACGAAATCCCAAAATATCCTGGTGAACAGTAATTCAAATAGTTTTTTGGTCTATAATGATAGCTCCAAACAGGAAACTGCCCTTATATTTAGAGAAATTCTACAATGCAGCATGCTCCCACATATAGACTGAGGTCTTGGCTGCATCAGGGCACATGATGGATGGTGATGCAGTGGAGGAGAGGTAATGATTATTGCAGGTGTTGGCTTTTGTTTCCTCTCCCCCTTCTGATCCATTCACCTTTACCTCCAGCGTTCCTTGCACACCTCATCCTACAGTCACACTCCCACCTCCAGACAATAATCTAGCAGCAACCTCCCACTGATACATGCATCACCCGCCTTATCCTCCACTTCCTCCCTAGTTCTTCCTCTCTTCCTGAGCCGTATCCCCAAGGTGACCCTTTGGAATTGTGCAACCCGTTTAGAATGTAGCTCTACAGCAGCTTCGGCAGAGCAACCAAATAGCTATGACAATAAAGGGTTACTAATTTAATCTCAATGACCCTTCAGGGACTCATCAGAGAAAGCAAACACTGAGCTTGTGCCCATCGCTTTTGTCCTAGCAAACAGCCAAGATGCTCATCGTAAGTGTAGTCTAATAAACATGGGAGGCCTATTATTCTATATCAGGAAACACACTATTTTACCATCATGCAACAGAAGGTGAAAGTAATTTATAATTTAGAATCATGATGTCACCAAATAGTGGCTGTGTCTCAGCATTAAGCTGGTTACCTGATTTTCAAACCATGATAGAGTTAAGTAGTTATTTAAATTCCTTTTGCACATTGTTATTATTCACATGTATGATTGTTTTGGCATTAGCACAGTTTCAATCTTTTTTTTTTTCAGATGGAAAAATGAAGCAAGGTGGACTACCCTTATGCAGCCACTCAACTCTCCTTCCAAATCACAACATAGTGACGCACATAGCTCTGTAGCGGTATGTTTTTTGTCACTAATTCTGGTATTACACTTCTTGAAGAAAAAGTTGAGTATTGCATGAAAAACAGCAGGAAGGATGTTTTGTTCCTAGGACAGGCAATGTCAGATCATTTGCACATGTTCCAGAGAGGCTGAACTCCACGCTTAGAAGATTGGAAAAGTGGTCTTCACGCAGCAATGAGCTACACTGATTAGAAAACATTCATCTTCATTTAACAGGCGTGGATCCATGTTGCGACATGTGCATACACAACATATATCGTCTACAGCCAGTGGAGCATCTTCTGTGGTCCAAGAGTTGAGTGCCATAAATGGTATAGTAAAAACACTAAGCTAATCATGTCGTGTGCATTAAATCAATATATCATATGAAGTGTAGGTATGTACACATGACTGGTGCTAGGCTACTAGAGTGAACATTGAAAACAAGACCAAGCTTGCACACTTAATCCCAATCTGCATTTAATAAAGTTACAACATTTCAATCAATGGTTCTTCCTCCACTAATTGAAACATTGTCATTAAATCAATATAATCATTCAATATTTAGAGGATCTTGTAGAGAAATAAGTTATTTTGCCAATTCTTATTTCTGTAACTTTGCTGAATTTTGGTTTATATCCAAATAATCGTCTTTCTCTTTGGTACATTGTCCCTGCCATCCCTCTCGCTCATGGTCCATTTAAGTCACTTGTTCTCTGCCTCATCTTCCTCCTACTCCTTCTTAGTTTGTGTTGTCAGGAGGCGGGGAAACACAGTGGGTCTGCAGTACCTCCTCCATATTTAATCCAAATTAAACATATAAGGACCATTGCCAGCTAAATAATTCATAGCCAGATGGGGGATACCAACACAAGGTAGTAAAACAAGATGGGGAAGGAGATTAAGAAATGTACTGCACAAATACACATTAACATATCCAAAAAAGTTTTTCAAATAAACTGAGGTTATGTTGTTGTGCCTGATCATACAAATAAACAGCAGAGAATATAGCAAACACAGAAGAGGATGCAGCAAAGTAACTGAAGCACAAACTGTCTACATGAATAAACCAACATGCCGAAAATAAGGAAATAAAGTCTCCGCTTGCTCCATATGACCTCTTGGGCACACAGATAAACACAGCACATGAAGCAAACTAGTCCATCTACTCCTCACTCTAAGAGAGTGTCACATAAGAAGTGCAAGATAAAGTAGAAGACCTGTTACATGGTACCACACCGCACTCTTTCCCTTCCCACATACATCAACTATCACTGTTTCTCTTCCCTTTGATAACACAAAACGTGGAAGAAACTGCTGTCTGACCACATCAATTATAATTATCAACTGGTCTACAACTTGCCAAACTATCGTATGTAAATACTGTATGCCATGTTTAATTCTATTGTAAATCAAAATATAAAATCAAAATACAGCACACAGCCATTGACTACACTGACATCTTGTAGGAACATATGAAAATATTTAAATAACAGTTGAAAAAAAAAAAAACATGACATTGCACACCAATGTTATGCTTTTTGCCATAAATGTGCACTGACAAAATTAAGCAATTTCCTTACTGGTTGTTTTACAAATTTTCCACTAAGAAATGGGCAATTTCTTTGTTTCTGGGCGAAAGCTCCAGTAGTGCTTATCAGAAAACTCAAGAAAAAGAAAGAGATGTCACAACAATTGTAGGCTATGCGTCAACAGCCACCATCATCTTGTTTTTGGAACATCTCTGCAGGGTGCAAACAGCGTGCTTGTCCATATGGCTAAGACAACAAGATGCTATCAAACTGCATTTCTGCAACATATTGCTATTACACTCAAGATAGGCAATCACTGTTTGAAGAGCAGTATGCTCTAAAAGAATCTGGAATCAACCTTATACACATGGCCGCATGGTGGCAGAGTGGCTAGCACTTTACAGCAGGTAGGTCATGAATTTAACTCCTGGGCTGCGCCTTTATTTGTAGAGTTTCTTCCCATTTCTAGGTGAAGTTCCTGTGGCCATGGGCTTAATATCTGCCCATGCCCACTGCTCCTGACAGGTTACCCAGAGGTATTGAAGGATGGGTCAACGCAGAGCACAAATTTTCCCATGGGGATAATAAAGTGTACATTTCTTTATGTTTCTCTGTATAAAATTTGCAACAAAGGGACTAGAGGCAAATCACACTGTGTTTAACAGTGCTAGAGATCTGGTTAGCAGAAGAGCTATGATGCAATAACTGCTGCAAGCTGTTTATTTGGCTAACATGGTGAGCATAATAGGACGTGTTACTCATCTCTGGAGAAGAGAGTTTCATATGCACATTACACACTGGGATGGCACTTTCAATCACATGTCCACAACTGTGTCGACAGCCTATACTACTGTAATCTGTGAAGCGTGATTAACTCATGCAGAGTATATGGCAAACACACTTATGTAAATGCACACATGGTGACACATACAGCCTGCACTTCCTCCATAAGATGCTGGTTGTATGTGACAGACGGTGCTTAAAAGACCTGGGTCTAGTCCCTGAGGAACAAGCAAGTGTGTCAGTGCTGTTTGGAAAGACATTAATCTTTCCATTGGGTTACACACTCTCAAGGTGAAGGCCATCTGAATGCATTTGCATAAAGTTAACATTATATATCATTCATTAAATGGTATATAGTAAATGGTTCAGTAGAAATGTCATGGTGACAAAGCTCCATTTGGTAAATCAATTTGTCAAGCCTTCATTTCATATTCTCATCTTCACAGAAATAAAGATATCAAAAGTAAATTTTTTAGACTTTGGTGTACCATAAAACTCCCCTCACATTTAGGAAATTTAAATAAAACTCTATATAAATTCCCTACAGAAGAATTATGAATTTTGTTATTTAGCTACACATTTTATTTAATTTCATTGAGATTAAAAATCTCTTTTATCTTTCTCTTTTCTTTCAAGTGTGGTATTACAGGCCTGTTACAAGGATACAGTCCCAAACATACAGTACATAAAGGTGCAGACTCACCAGCTCCTTCTTCTTCATGCACTCCATGAGGATGATGAACAGGTGCTGTGCTTGCGTGCGGCTGTAGGTGAAAGTCTTCTGGATAGTCACCAGTAACTGGTCTCTTAAAGATTCGTTAATAATCCTAGGGCAGCAGAGATATGAGAAGACCAAACCAGAGCCAAGAATCAGAAAAAGAAACAAAGGTTAGAGAAAAAAGTAGGATCAAAGTTTGCCCATTTTCTAACTGCGCACCACTGCATAGCAATAAGCAATAACATTCAAGTTGCCTTTCTGGATTTTGTATTTACTAATTTCTGACAAATATATGAATTCTAATACAAACAAACAAACAAACAAAAAAAAAAAACTATGTGCTTTGGCTCTAAACCAACAGTATAGCATAACAGCCCTTCACTTTTGTTACTCTCTTGAATTATGGAGAATCCATACCCTCCCTCCTCTGAGTATTTATGTCCGAAGGCCAAGATGTCAGAGGCTCGGCCACTGCCATCACAAACCACCACTGGGACTGGAGGAGTGTCCCTGAGGTACTCCAGCACTATGGAGATCACATTAGGGCCTCCTTCAACGATCAGAGCCACCACAGGCACGCCTTGACCAATACCTGCACATAGACACACAGAGCGTGTGAAGAAATGCACTTATCAACACAGTATAAAGCATATAGGCATCTTATAAAACAGACAACAAAGAGGCTCAAAAAAGCTACAACTGAGGTGTAAATAGAAAAACTGTGAGTAAATGTGACAGCTGTCATCACTTGTTAAGAAAAAGCTTCTAATTATGGCAGCCTGTCTTTTTATAAAGCACCTAGACCAAAAATAACCAGCCTACTTTGTGTGCCGTTCCTGTGGCGGTGGCATGTGTGCTGTGCGGATAAACCTAACTCTGGCTGTGTGCCTACTAATCACACACTCTTTAGGATAATTATGCATAATTAGCAGGTGGGTTTTCTGCACATGCTAGGACAACATACAGGAGAAGCTACTGTGGATTTGAAAATTATTTTCCAAATCCTCAATGGAGTTTCCCCTTTTTACTCTCCTGGCTCACCCTCTCCAATATGCTCTTTTTTCTCATTAAATCGTTCACACTGTAATACCAAAGCCCTATGCTAGTCCAATCTATTGGCTAAACCTTTTAACCTTATATTGCTTTTCCCTGCTTTAGCTTATATAGCCACAGCATTCTGTTTTATGAGCTGCTGTTTTGTGCCAGGTGTTTTGAGTCTCCTAATTCGAAAGCTGTGTTAAAGTGGCCCATCATAGTGGTCTGCATTATTCACACTGGAGGAAAGAGCAGGGTCTGTCTCTCAGGCAGTAGATACACATACAAACCCACACTTACATACAATATACGCACACATTTGGAGGAGCACCATTCCGCTTTGCCTCACACAGCCTCGTGCAGCCGTGGATCAGGGACAGTTACATAAGACGAATATTTTAGGGGCCTTGTCTACTTCAAAGAGGTAAAACAGTATGCCACAACACATCACCCAACCCCAAATCAGGAGAGTGGTGTGAAAGTCATAGGTTAATGAAATGCTTTTTCCTTTTTCTTTTTTTTTTCCTGTATTTTTGTCACCAGCACGTGCATATGAGGAATGTCAGATGAAGCATTGATATTGATGACTTATGAGGCTCACAGTGAATGGATCTAAAGCAGAATATAGTCCAATGGAAGCCCACAGAGGAGCGGCTGAGGGGGGAAAGCACAGCTGTGTCATGGCTGAGTGGTTTAAGAGGTCTTTTTTGGAGCAAAATCGCATACAGAAGCTTGCACACACATGTAAACAAACTGAAATGATGGCAAATAAAATTAATCAGATCAAATATAAAGAAATACAAAAGTCTAATACAAAGAATGGGTTTGTGACATTTTATGTTATAACACAGCAATTCATGCTTTTTACTATGTCAAAAATAACAGGCTTGACATTTTTTTTATTAAAGCCGTTCATATATATTTTTAGCTAGTAATTTGAGCTATTTTACGCAAGATAACCTTTCAATGTCAGTGATTAATCATTATTTTCATTTTTAATCAGTTTATAATTTTCTTGATTGATCATTTGGTCTGTAAAATGTCAGCTGCCCCCCTAAGAGCTCAAGGTGACATCTGAGCATTCAGTGCCAACACACTGGACTCCCGAGATGGAGATAAGAGACAACTGTGCAGCTGCAGTCCCCCAAGTCAAAGCCTTCTTTCTGTGGCTTTTCTGTATTAAATTTATCCATGCACATAACAACAAAACCCTGGACTCAAAAGCTGCTTAATAAGGACCCAAGGCCATACAATTCTATATTTACTGTACCCTGCCTAATGAAAGTAAACAGAAGGAGACGGAGAAGGAGGGTAGAGGGAGATGCTAAACGTCACATGTAACATATTTACATGTAATTAAACGAATACCATATACTCCTTTATAAAAACTCTGCACCAGACTTTATATTATATGAGTAATGGCTACTGAGTGTGGCCCAGCTACTCAAGTGGGCCTCACATTTACGGTGGCATTGAATTATTTCTAGCATTCTATAATTCCTACCCATTCATCCTACACCATTATTATAGGTATCTATAAAAAATATATTATCTATAACAGCACATTTCATGCATTTTAATAAATATTAGATGTTTATTTTGATAGATCTAAACAAAGCACTATAGCTCTGAAGTTTTAATCTTTCTTATTCCTATGTATTGACAAGCACATGTTTTCTTTTCACACCAAATAGCAATGTTGTCATTCAAGCAAACACAAAACCTGAACTGACTTCGGGAGCAACAACCCAGTACTTTTACCAATGTCCCACTGGGCAAACACTCCACAAGTTCACGTTGATCATCCTGACATCGTTTTGTGAGACTATTGGTGCATGAACAGACCATCTCTTCAGTCTTCTTGTTCACATGCAAGTATTTATTTGACCACTGTCAGAATGCAAATTTTCACCTGTATACTGCTTCACACTTGGTTTGCATATTCTGATTAATATTTTTTGTCGATATTGAAGCCTACCACATTGCACAAAAGAATCACTTTCTTTGTATTTGGTTTATTTAAGACTATGTTTATTAAAAAAAGAGTTATGTTCCAACTTTGAAATCTCATCACTCGAGAAGTACATAATTTTATCCGCCAAACTGAAAAGTCACTGTTCAATCACTTCTCGACTATGACACTTAAAATTGAATATAACAACCTTCTTGACACCTCCTCTCCCATAGCTTAACTATAATCTCTTGGCTATAGGCTCCTCCACAGTTGAGGTCACAATGTCAAGGCTAATCTGCAATGGAAGACCTTACGGCTCCTGGATTCAATTACTGCGCAGTCCCTTCATCTTTTACATATGGTGTGATTAATGAAACCTTCTCTATACAAAGGTCAGTGAAGGTCACGCAGTAGTTAGTTGCAGTTAAAAAGCACATTCAGTTCACAAAAAACTCACGTCTCTCAAGTTAAATGGATTGTGGCATAAGGCACTCAAGGTGGCTCTTTCATTTGAACAGAATTATTGTTAGCCTGCACTAATAAAATGTTTTTAATCTTTTACATGCCTCGTGTGCTTTCAACCAACTGCTGCATTTGAATAACTACCCAAGATAATAGCTTGGGTGGTAAAAAGTGTCTGCTTTTTTCCACTCTATGACTGAGAAAGAGAAAACAGAAAAATGTGGCAGAGTGCTTACTGCTCTTTCCATTGTGCCATGTTTGATCTTTAGCCATTAAAATCTCTCTGAGTTAACGATATACTGTATTTTCTGTGTATGTGCTGCAGGTTCTGTGAAACAAAATACATGTAATGGAGAATTAAAAGCAAAGAATGACTGTTGATCTGTTTTTGTATACTTGTATAAATGTGACAGCTCTGCCAATAACTGACCATGGTCCTCTATAAAGGTCCATGATGGCAAGCAGAGAGATTCATTAAATTACTGTCACTCACTACGTTTATACGCACGCCAGGAAAACTGAATCTTAGGCCGAGTTAGCTTTGAACGCAATGACTCAAATCTCCCAAACGGCATTAACATATCTGATCATACTTGGAGCACTGATGCATGTGCTGTACTTAGCGTACTCTGATGACCCTAGAAGAGGCATTCAACTGAACAAGGCAAGAAACAGTGAGGAATATATTAGGCATGTGTCTGAACTCACTAATTTTACATGAGCCCCTCCACTGTGGACTTGATACATTAAATTAAAAGAGAATGTAAAAACTACAGTAGTTTCAATGTAATTGCACTTCAGTAAGCAAATGACTTGTGAGCAACATATATCCTATCATGTGTAAAAATCACCTGCTCAGAGTAAATGAATTATAGCTTACCGATGTGTATGTGTTCTCATTGACCTGTATGTAGACCTACACTCTGGAGAAAACTGGAGTTATCAGTGCAAGTAAACTGACTGTCAAAAGTAACGTAAGTTTAGATTGGAACAACATGGATGCAGTGTAGGTATCAAGCAATGCAAATGGTTTATTTCATAGCTGTCCTTCAGTGTGTCTGTTGTGTTTAAAGTGTAGAGAAAACACTTTGTCTACTACTATATACTGTGCAATGGTTGAAAATGCCATGAGAGTCCACCAAGAAGGGCACAATGGGATAGGACACTCAAAAGTGTAATCCCACTATGAGATCTGACAGGTGGCAACAGCCCGGCTAATGTGAAATGAAAAGGTGTTATATGCGAAATAGCAATAGAGCGGCGGCTACAAGAATCCTACATTACAACTCTAATGACCTTATGAATGCCAGGCGTCTGTGACCAATAAGAATCCATTCCTTCGCCTAAAAATGTCCTTCAAATGAGGAGAAAATTACTTTAGCAGAGTTACACAGTGACGGCCACTCCATAGAAAATCGCATGGTGGCACAGCAGGATTAGCTACAGGATTGCCCAGTCATCACAAAACCACCATGGGGGAGATTACGCATATCTGCCCAGCACATGTCTTTCATGTTTCTGGTCAAAATGAGAAACTGCAGGAAAGAAAAAAAGCCAAACCAAACTCATAACCAAAATATTGTTCATAAATGAGCTTGAGTATTAAACTGTTAACTGTTCTCTTCAGTTTTTATAGTTTTGGCAAATCTCAAATCACACTGGAACAGCAATTTGACAGACTCTGGACAAACAATCGATTCCTCAAGTGATGCTTCAAATAAATATGATGCATTTAGCTTTGCCCAAGGCTAGTGGTTTCAGTAGATACACAAGGAACAATACAGATAGATTATGCATTAAATGTCATTGGGTAATACCACAACAAGTGTATAAAAATAAATTGTACATTTCAGATGCACTGAACATTTCGTACAAAAAGGATAAATCTTAGCATGACTCCTGGGTACTAGATGATTGTGAGACGTCTGAGCGCCCCTTTGCCTTCCCAGCCCCTTCTGTATGAATCCAGGCATAGGATGACAAAGGGAAGTCCATTGGTCACGACATTGGTTATAAGATGTTGGGGCCTCAATTACAAGAGTTTTCTCCAGTTAAGGTAAAAATAAAAACCCCAATGTACAGAACTTCAATATATATTATCACAAGCACACATGTAGTGAACCATACAATAGAAGAGTACTCACCTAATCTGCTATTAAAAATTTACATGTGCAGGTCGACAGCTGTGATTTGTGTATTACCTTGTTTTTCCTTATCCCATTTAAAATACAACACAGTAGAAAACAGTGATAATAAAGCAGGGTCACATAAAGACAAGAATTCATCTAAACTACCACAGACTTTGGCAAGAAATAGAATTTGAAGGATGGGACCATTTCAAAGGTTTTCTGAGATGTTTTACTGGTTGTGTTAAAAATATACTGAGAGCATGTGTTTATTACATAGCCAAATAGGAGTAATTTTAGTTCCTTCACAGTTTTAAAATAGAATGTGAACTCAATTAACCCTCAGAAGTGTTGAGAAAACAAGGGCTGAAGTTCCAACATTATCATTATCAGATAATACCTCTGAAATATCTGGGACAGTTAGTTTGTCACGGTACACACAGTCTTACTCACGTGTGTTAATTTTCTGCAGGGAGATGTGTTTCTCCAGTTGCCGTCGGAGTTTAACCTCAGCACCATATTTCCCTGTCGTGCCATTGTCTGCCAGGATGAAATGGGAGTGAAGGCTGTTGAGGACAGTCAGTTTGCTCATTGGGTTGGACATTGTCTGGTATGGACGCACCACCTGGACACAACATAAATCTTAGTATTAGTATTAGTTTGTATTAGTATCATTGACTTGGCTTAAGTCTGCTGGGGCTGTATCATTGACTGTATAAAGAAGTGGACTAAGGGAGTGTGACGTCACCCATAGTGCTCAGCTCTGGCCAAATGAAGCTCATCAAGGCTTGCGGTTACAGGGGTGAATTTGTGAGCAGTTCCATTTTAGGAATAGGAAATTATTTATGAACAAAATAGCAACACCAACACCAGGATCATGTAGAGTGGGTTAATACAAACATATGGACCAAAATGAGCAGCCTGACAGCAGCAGTTATGGAGAGAGGGGTGATGTTTGTTCAGTACAAAGTGAACTAGCATCTATAAGCCAGAGTTAAGCATGATGACTTATGTGTTGAATTTCTATGCTGTTTATACAAGAGCATAATACATATTTTGAGAAGAGAAACAGATATTGTAGCAGTTTGCTTTAAAGAGACAATATATAAGATTTTGTTAAACACTGAACATGATGGCAAAGTTATTTATGTTGTAATTTGGTGTTTTGGTTCATTATTCTTTTTTTTAATCCCCATTAGCTTCAGGTGGTTCTGATTTTTCACATGAGGCCTGGCCTGTCCACATATACTGAGACTTGCAACTCAAACAGGGCCTGCTGGCAGTCCCCAGAGCCGGGCTCAAACACTGTGGTGATCAAGCTTTCTCTGTCTCAGGCCCCAGAATCTGGAACAAACTGTCCTCTGATATCCGCACTATCACAGTCGTTGGCCAGTTTAAATCCATGCTCAGAACTATTCAGACTGGCTTTCAACACTCAGTAATGTGGTGGTACTTTGTATAATTTGTTTTTATTTAACTGTTTAATGTTTTGCATGTTTTTATACTGTTGATTTAATGGGAAAGCACTTTGGACACCTTGACTGTTGTAAAGGGCTCTATAAACAAAGATTGACTGATTGATTGAGATGTGACCAAAGGCCAAAGCTGGCATGCTGTCAGACAGTAAGGACTTTAAGGCACTGGCAATCAAGGTTCAGTTTGGATTATACTGCAGGTTATATATTGTTGTCAATATGAAGCGCAAAATATTGAAAACTGTGATTTATTTGCGGTGGTGATTTTGATGATTATGTAGAAGACAAGGCCAATGCCCATAAAAATAGAGGCTCCCATTACTTTACATATTTATCACAACAATAAACAAATGAGACCACAAGATTTTCTGTTACCCTAATGCTTTCATCAGGTACTCAATTTGTGGTTTTAACTGCAGTAAACTGAGTTGGAAAATATTTTCTCCTAACACATATTTGGCCTTGAAGCTTTATTAATAATAATAATAATGATAATAATAATGTATCAGTTTTGTAGAGCTTTTCTGGATACTCAAAGATGCTTTTACAGACCATTATTAATTCACTGCCCTGGGGCAGACTGATAAAAGCGAGGCTGCCAAACTGCCCCTCCAACACACACACACAATGGCATAAGAACACAATGGCAGTTTTTGCAACTGGCGCCCCTGTGTGGTACCTGATTTTCTACCCAGGCCTGGCATTGCTTAGCTAGGCATTGCCACATTGTTACTGACAAAATAACACAGTGGAATTTTTTTTTATTGTTTTGCTATATATTAGATAAATTTAAATGTACTACATAAAATATATCTATAATCTTATGTGTTTAAAATAGTTATACAGTACTAATTACAAGTTAGAAATAATGCCACTTCAATTTAGTCTACAGGGGCTGAGGCTGACAGCTGATCATTAGGCTCAATGCAAAACCCAATCAAGCATTGAAAAGAGTTTCTTTTCTTCATCATCTTGTTCCAGCTACCAAGTATTAATCGTCCCTACTTGACTAGTTCACACGGACACAGTGATGAAATTTTAACTGTAATCTCCCCTTTATTTTGAATGAGTCAGCATGTGATGCTGTGTCTCACATGGTCTGACTTTGAAGGACTGTTTATCTCTGATTGAATTGGCAAACTCAGCATCTCAGTTAATAAGCTGTCAACAGCAATTTACTCTGTACCACAAACTGTGCAAAGCATGCTACATAAAAATCCTGCAAAAAAGCTGGGAAGTACATCTGCAGCTTATAATGGAGGTCATATTGTTGCTCATTTTGTACTATCTGACACTTACATCTTTGCCAACAAGATCCTCTTGATTTTCGACAATGCCCCATGGTGCGATGCCAATGGTACAGATCTTGCCTCTTGACTTGGAGGCATGGTCTTTGAGTGCATCTCCCACGTGGCGGATAACCCCTGTGTGTATACATCAAAAGAGCAGATCAGGTTTGTGGTCAACATACAATTCTTAAACACAAGTAGTCTGTTGGGAATTCTTGTTGAATCAAATAACACTGACTGGTAAAGATTGTAGCCAGTCTTGTTAACAGAGGCTGAAAATACACCTGAAAGCCATTAAATCCCATCTCTTCTACTGACATGCTCTCCTTCTCTTTCTTCACCCTTAACTACCCTTTCAATCCATTATTTAGCACTCACAAGCACTCTTTGACTCTGGACTCATTCTGTCACAAAAACTTACTTTCTATTGCCTATTATGTGAACACAAGAGAGAGTTAAGTTGTTTTAGGGGATCTTGTCTTCTCTATTAACCATTAACCATTAAACAAGAATCAAAATGTATTTTACAACTCAATTTTTTTTCTCCAAAATCAGGTGTATGATTTGGACCCCCTCAGAATGGCACATCCCAACAGGCATTCCGATAATACATTTATAGAAAACTGTTAAACTTTCAGTAAAGGACAAGCTCTGCTCACACATGATAAAACTATGAATAATTCATACACTGCCAAACTGCCAGTTTACTTCACCCTCTCTGATTCTGTGATGGCCATGGCCAGTGCTCGACAACTACCTTTGTAGATGATTTTAAAGGCTTTTTCACTTTCTCTCTACATTTTAAAATGTAGAGAGAAAGTGCTGTGGTTTTTACAACTCTCCTTCTTCATACCTCATCATCTACTCCTTTCTGAAGCACAAGGACTATCATCCAAATCCAGTTCAAATCCAAGAAGATACTTACAATGTAGTTTAGGTTAAATCCAGCTATAAATCCAACTATATATTAGCCACCAAAGGATTTCTCCCAAGACATGTATGGGTTGCTTGTAGCCAGCTGCTTTAGAGAAAAGCACTACAAAACTCATATATGGCACCCCACTTGACAACAAACCTGTTCTGATGAAAGATATGGAAATACCTGTGTTGACCCCTCCAGTAAAAATCCAGGCTCCTGTTGTCATGGCAGCCTTGATGAGCCCTTTGCCAAAGACCTGCTTGAGTTTGGGCTGTAGTTCAAAGTTCTGCAGGCCTCCGTGCACTGAGATGAGCAATTTTGGCAGATCCAGCTGCCACTCCTTGGTCATCAGATGAAGCAGCAGGTCAGGCTTTGTGTCATATGACACCCGCACATACTGAGGGACAAGACAAGGAAAATATCAGTGACAATAGAACATGTGTATTATAATAGTAAAAGTATGTGAGCTAAGGAGCTAATAAAATCATAACATTGTGTAGTAGGAGAGACTCTTTGCATAAGGTAATCGACAGATGTTTGCTGTGATTGCAGAGCCACATGCGTTATGAACCATCTGTTTATCTGTCTAGTTCACCCACAGTCACCCAACATGACATGTGTCTGGCTGAATAATTAAGCATTTGGAATTCAGCCTAATAATCCCAGTGCTGCAACTGTCTGTGATTTCCTACTCAACTGATCAAATGATCAATTGATTTATCACACTAATTGGAACCAAATCATTTGCTGCTGTAGTTCCTCCAAAACTGCAAAATTATAAACACAACTTTTCTACTATCTATTACTATATTATTACTATTATACTACCTTTAATAATACTAAACTAAACTAATACTAGTCACCATGGCTTTGTTGGAGTGTCCTCCTCCCTGGAACTCGATGGTGCCGAAGGCATCAGTGGGGCTGAGCTGGGTGTGCTTGCTGATTGACCACTTCTCCGATAGGCTGTCATTTTTAGCCAAGCGTTCTGCCTTGTCATTCTGACTGGAGGAGATGCCCGGGGGCAGGCCCACATGCTGACCAATCAGACGACCACAACAACACCTGCAAGACAGGGAGATAACCTTCAGTTCCAAGTCAGATTGTGGCATTCCTTAAGTGAGCGAATGTGGGCCATGTGTAGGGACATATGCCTAGCTGTCAGCCTGCTCAGGCTACATGGTACTGTCGTTCCACACTGGGTTGGTTATACTCTATGTCATGGCAATTTGTATATACACCATGTATATAGCATATGGTCCTACGATAGTGAATGAAGCAGCGCACTCAGGTGTGGTTTGTATTTTTATGTCAGAAGCTGTCACATGACTAATCTTCTTCCTGTGAAAAGTGAAAGCATGGTATTCTATATAGGGTCTCTTAAAATGTACTAACAACAAACTAATTGGAATTAAAAATCGCTCAATAGTCTCCTCTCTCCTTCTTGGAGATATGGAATTTGCAGAATGAATATTATGAGGATTGTAAATAAGGTGAGAAAATAGAGTGCCTTTAGGCCTTTAGGATGCTTTAGCTGCATATGTTCAGTTCACTTGTATATTAAATGCTTTATTGCTACATTAACTAAATTACTCTTACTAAAAATAAACTTACCTGGCCTTCATTTACATTTCAATTCTGGCAATTATGCTAATAAGGCTTACCCACACCTGCAGTGACCTGAATTGGACTTGACTTTCTGAATGTGTCACCCTGAGGAGCAGCATTTGCTCATGTACAGATTTTAATAACATCACAGCACCAGACACAGCAGAGCAGCAAGAGACTGGAGGCTGAGGAGGTGAGAGCGAAAGTGTAATTTCATTATCCAAAAGGGGTCTTATACTATCAAGTGACATATCGGAATAAGAATAGGCTTTTAAAATAGATAAACATTAACATTTAAGTGTTTCAAATTTAGGTTCCCATTGTTTTACATGTGCTTGGATGTGAATGCCAACCTGATACTCAAGAAAGCCAAAAAAGCATTATTGTGACAATGGCCTGAGAAGCGCCTCATTTGTACCTCTGTAATTGAACTGTGTGTTATGCATATTAGATCTGATTACAAAGGTCATGAACTGAGTTATTAATGTTTATTTCAAAATGAGTGAAAATGTTACTCACCTATGGGGGTCTTTGGCGCTTACAATGATGTGAACACATTCTCTCTTGCTGAATGCTCTTTCGATCCACGATTTCTGTGCCTGCAAAACACAGGAGTAAATATTTGTTTTTAATTACACTCTACACAAGGTGTACTGGTCCATGCAGTGTTTCAGATAAGGGGCTCAGACCTTGACCTAAACCAGAAATCTCATGATACAAACTTACTGAAGTAGAGAACTTTAATATCACCTCCAAACTGTACTCCATTAATGCCAACAAATTTATTAAAACTGGCCTTTTGCTTAGTCATTTATTATAATTTACATTGTCTCAAAATAACTAAATAAATAAACATATTATTCTCTAGTTATTCACTAGTAATGCCCTCCTTAGTTGGGTTAACATCCCATAGCACTTAAATGACTATTCCCTGGCAGTAACTCCACGACAAAAATATTTTAAGTGATTTAGTGACAGCCACCCCCTTTTAGGATGACATGAGTAGCTGGATATGGAAGAGGGGATGTTCAACTCACTGAAGCAGTAAATTATGTTCATAATCCAAGGCCTGAAACAGCCTAGCCTGCTGACTATGAATTTACCAAATGTTTCTATATTATGGGCCAAAGAAAAAAATCTACTTTATATATATGTGTGTGTGCGGTTGAAAATGACTGGCACACTAAAATGCACAGAGTTTAATAGGGCATGTGTCAGATGGTGGATCTCAGGTTCTGTCGTAGGTCTGAGTGACAGAGCGACTGACTGGAGCCAATTATCTCGCCATGGTTACATCCAGTGAGACAGTCAAGAGCCACAGTCAATCCCCGTTACATAAGCAGGGCTGCACTGAACATGGATAAACATCTGTCTACCCAAGCCCATGCATAAAACCTTCTTACTGTACATACAACAATGAGCCATGCATGACAAAACTGACTTCCGCACTCACACACATCAGATGCAGTACCTTGAAATTGGCACAGCAAAAGTTGGATGACAATGCAAACCAATCTATGGTATAATAATTGCCAACCAGAACTCAGTGAAAGCAAGAATGTACAGTAACGTACAAATTATCAAACTTTATTGTTTCCAGGAAAATACAGAAAACAAACTCACTTAAATTAACACAGTACTAGATTTTCTAGCATTTCAGTGTCTTGTATCTCTTACTCCCGAATGAGTCAATCTTAAAACAATGCAGTAAATATAGTACCAGTCATCTTCACAGTACATTTTATACTACTGTTAAATGAGTTGTTGGTAAATGTTTCTAAAGGCACAGCTTTTTAAAATGCTATCCTAATGAAAATGTCTTCCAAATTTGCATAACACTTTTGGGTAGAAAGAGGTTGATAATGAAGTTGATGTATTTTAAGGTCCTTGGAACAGCACATGTGGCCCTCTTTTGGTTTTAAGGCATCCTGTTAAATTAAATGCTTTCTATTGTAGCTCAAAGCAAGACAGTAAACTTTTCACTGCCACTGATTGGTTTATCTGACAGGTAGTAAGCTAAATAGAAAGATATATTTGGGATGTTAAAAAAAAGTTTCACTCAAATTTATCACTCAACAATGCAGAGAGTTTCATGTTTCATATTGTCATTTTACTCTTTTAAAATATCCCTTTTAATTGTGACTTGTCTGATCAGCTTTGTCAGGACATTCTCCCCAAGAAACTAATTGCGATGGACTTAATGTACTTAAAATCTATAGCTCCCTGGCCCATGTCCATCTGCATTATATCTACACCATTGTAAGAATGCAATGCCTCGGTGGAGGTCTGTGTTCACTGTGTGCTTCAAGTTTTCTGACTAGAGTTGTCATTGTGCTTGTTTATACCCATGTTAATATTTGAATTAAAATTTAAAAAGCATTTTACATGTGTGTACTTTTGACATTAACATTGCAGTCCTGTGAAGTGGCTTATTTGAGTGGGACCTTGCGTTGAGAGAGCAGGCTTGTGTAGCGCAGAATGAGTAGATGTCCTGTCAAGCTTGTACCAAAACTTATGGAACACACTTCAAACCCACTACAAAGGAAACACAAAGCTGTGGAAACAAAAAGGACAGCATATTTGCCTGTTGTCCAATCTGGGAGAGCAGCCCCAGCTCTTCTCCCAGCCAGAGCTGCTTGTACAGGGCTTTCTCCACCAACATTGCTACAACAACACACGACGCATCCGCCTGACTGCCCTGTCACACCACGGCACAGCAAAACCCAGCACCAGGAGCAAGCCAGGAGACCACTTACCCTGCCTCCACACTTCCCACGATGATTGACCATTACTCTGGGGCTAGGGGTTGCTTATAGAGAACACTACTATCACATGGCAGGCCGCACCAGCGCCCCCAGCCCCATTCTCCTGGTGACACCAAAACACTGTATCCATCCGCTGGTTCACCTGGGCACAAACTAGTTCCTCCTGCATTAATCAATCTGTAACAAGTCTTTAGATTTTTAAGTTTTACAAAGCTAGGCAAATATTAATTAGTACATTAAAGGCAATAATATGATTGTACTCCATCACAGCAAATTAAGACTAACAGTAATTGCATAACAAATCTTTTTTCTTTTCTTTCTTTCTTTTTTCTGAATTTGATCTGCTGTAGGGCCATATTTTAAGTAAAGGTGCAGTGAGTAACTTTTCTAGTGTAGGGGCTTGTCTCAAAGGTCATGTTACTGCTTTGCCTAGAATTTCCCAGTAGTTTATTTTACATATCTAACTCTATGGAGACAGGGAGTGGACCCCACAAGCTCAAGTAACAAGTCAGATCTGTGGAGAGGCAGAACTGAAACAAAATATTTGTTTTTCAAGCAATATAAACACTTACAGTCACAACTGAATTAAATCGATATGATTAATGCCATACCAGGGAACATTAAAAGAAGAGCAATACCCAGATCAGAAAATTTATGCAGTGCACCTTAAATATGTAAAATATGTGAAAAATCCTAAAGAGATGCCACACAGGCTGCCTTCCATTGTGTAATTAAGATTTATCACCAAGGTGCTCTGTTCACTGTAGCACACAAACAGGGACAGACTGGGCAGTAGAAACAGAAGAATGAGCAGCATCTGACAGCCTGTTAGGGGTCTTGACTCCATTACACCCACACCTCAAGTACTCTGTCTCACTCCTTCCTTCCAGCCTTTACAATTGTATCTCCTCTTTGTTATTGACACTGGCAGTGAGCTGAATCGAGACCCATATCCAATCAACAGCCTAATCTCCCAGCTCTGCAGCTCATTCCTACCTTTTCCACATCTCCTCCAAAACACAAATGACTTGGCAATGTGAGCTGCTAGTGGCTATAGTTTAAAACCTGGACACAATAGTTAAAGAAATTTGAAAGACAACAATCTATAAAGTATATTTTAGTTCATATATAAAACCTCACAGTCAACTGAGTTTCCATGGCCCGTGTATAAAACGGATAAACTCAAATGTAATGAAACATTTGAGTCCACACACTCAAATAATATAATTAGATCCTTGCAGCATTATTAATCATTACCTAAGTCCAAGTTTAATCACACCTTGAAAAGAAAAGTTTCCCCAGAATAAAATAAAGTCCACTACCTTTTCAAACGATACACAATGATGACCTACCTGTTTTATCAAGCATTGTTTCTCTTGCCTTCCATACAAACTTTATAGTAAAAACTAAAATGTCTAAAAACAGTTCAAATGGTTAGTAGCTCTACAATATGTGTGGGAGCACATGCTACAGAAGACACAGACAGAACCGCCCCAATAACTAAACTAGACAGGCTTTCCATGCTGATGTCTCCTCCCCTTTTTCTGACCCACAATGAAGCTATCAGTCTATTAAAACAGAGCAAATTTTTACTTTTGCACTTGACTTGACAAAACTTTTATTTGGGAAACAAATGAGAAAGTGTCCCGTTAAGCCGTCTGTTTGTCAGGTGCTCTGGGCATATTTCTGTCAGAGATCAAGACCAGGTAGGCTGCGTGAATGGCACAGCAGCCTATTAGGTGAAGCATAGTGACAGAGTGTCGTCTGGAGTGTGCACCATTATTTTGGCCTAAATGACACACAGGGGTGTCACTGTGGCAAATACTGGAGAATACTGAAGTGAATTTGAAACCATAATATTTGCCTCTTTCATTAACAAAACCAACCAGGCTGAGAGACACAAGAAACTGAACAAATTGAGAAAGGAATAGCACTGAGGAACTGTGTTTTTAACCAGTATGAAGTCTAAGCGCTGGTGACATGACCCAAGCAGAGATCAAACACAGATTGTGTTAAGGTCATTACTGAATCAGAAGCAACATTTTCTTCTTGCAAGTAAGCTTATTAACCCAGAACATACACAAAAGGTAAAATCGTCCACCTAACACAGTCCTCCTGACAATGCCTAGCACACAGCCTCTGACTAGTTGTCCCAGCGGCGCTGAAGGATGGGTCAATAAAATATTCCCTGTCCCTTACCTTAATTAGAACACCAGCCAACAAGGTGCATAGTGAGTAGAGTGTAGCAGTGTAATCTTGTCTTATGTTTTTAAAAGTGATATTTACATTAGTAGCTGCTAAACAGGGTGAGGAGGTGAATAAAAACAAAGACATGCAAATCTAATCCTATATGAACAGGTTTATCCATCTGAATCTGAAAGACATATAAATGCGATGTACTCAGATGCTTCTTTCTTCTCTGCTCAGAGGTGAACACCTGAGACACGAGTCTGTAAGCACCACAGGCAGGTGCTCTCCCACAGCCCTCTCATCTACACCAACAGAGATTATAATGACAGCTACAAAAGGCAAAGGTTACTCTTTGACCTGCAGAGCCCAAGACGTAGGGCTGTGCAATTGAAGGCATTTGAATCGAGATCCAGTCATTTCAGTCATCAATGATCAGTCTGAGCCATTTTAAGGGAGTGGTCTACAACCAATCCTTGGAGCAGAGTTTGTACATCGGAGGAACACATTTGAATTGTTTTTGTGTAAATGGGACTAATTAAAAGACTTGTCTTGTCTTAAATATCTTCAGAAAATGAATATTTAAAATGTGATTGATCAAAGCGAGGAAAAATTGTATTTGTGCAATAAAATATTTTTCCCAGTAT